ACTCCACTACACCCCACTACACTAAATTACACTACTCTAAATTACACTACGCTACACTACATTGCACTACACTACACTACATTCCACTACACTCCACTACACCACACTACAATTACACTACACTACACTACATTACACTCAATGACACTGCACCACAGATAGACAGGTCGACAAATAGATAGATAGACAGATAGACAGGTAGACAGCTAGACAGATGAAGGAGAGAGAGAGAGATTGATAGATAGATCGATCGATAGATAGATAGATAGATAGGTAGATAGGTAGATAGATAGATAGATAGGTAGATAGGTAGGTAGGTAGGTAGGTAGATAGTCAGAGAAAGAGAGAATAGTGAGAGAGATCAATCGCCTTTCGATCCATGAGTGGCTTCGCTCTGCCATCCCTGATTCACAAAAACCAACCTCTCCTATAGGTTTCCTATTTTTGAAACTTCCACCACCGCCTTGTGCGGTACTACTGGTATTATATTTTTATTTTTGTGTGTGTTCACCAAGAATTGGACAAAGTTACTATTATACAAACAGGGGGAAGTAATCTTCAAACATGTGGATATGAGCCAAGACATCTTGCTTTATTTTTCATGGATTTCTGATGTTTCATAGGATTTTGGATTTTGTACCGCCCAGTTGAGCGTTTCTCTCCGAGCCTGGGAATCTGCAGAATCCCCAAAAAGGCTGGCGCAACAGCCGAGCTCAGGTGGGCGTTTCTGGATCTGAGGGCCACTGAATCTTTTGAAAGCGAAGCAATCAGCGAAGCAATCAGCGCCTGTGAAAAAGTTGGGGCATGGTCTCAAGTCCTCAAGTTGCTGGAGCAGATGGCCATGCTGCAGGTCGAAGGACCAAGTTTTCATACAACACCGGCATCAAAGCTTGCGGCAAAGCACGGCAATGGGAGCTAGCTGTAAAACTTTTCACAAAGGTGGGGGGTATGTGCAATGAGCTCTACGCCCAACAATTTGTGGCACGAAATGTTTTGATAAGATGGGTGGTCCCGAAATGGACTCTCAGAAGTATGCTCTAGGTTTTGATTGATTAGATTGTGTTGTTGTGAGATGGCAGCGGCACACGGATGCCGGTCGAAAACCCTCCAAATGAAGCTGTTTGTGGACTTCACTTTGTTGGGAGAGTGACTCATGAGGTTCTAAACTGGATTCATTTTTTGTTGCAATTTGGATTTCTTGAGTTCTTGAGTTCCGATCACTGAATGGATCATCAGGTGGAATGCCAACTGAAGCTTTCCACCATGACCTTCAACATCCTTGCTGGTGCTGGTTTTCCATGGCAGGAGGCCTTGATGGATGCCATGCGTCAATCAGGCGAGGAAAAGCCAACAGTTTGATCAGGAGGTTGAGATGAATGGATTTGAAACATTGAACTATGGTTTTTCCCGAGGTAGCGAAGCTATTGGGGTTCTTACTTCAAGTACAGGATGAGTTGGATATGTGCGTTCTGGAGCGGGCATGTTGGTGCCGCTGCAGGGTGCCGCTGCAGGGTGCCGCTGCAGGGTGTCGCTGCAGGTGTCGCTGCTAGGTGCTGCAGAATGCTTCTTCAGGGTGCTGCTGTCAGAGTGCTGTGTGGGCTTTGGAGCGGGGTACTGCTGTCAGAGTGCGGTGCAGTTATGAAACTTGGGTGCTGGTGTTGCTGCAGGGGGTGGCTGCGAGATGTCTGTGGCAGTGTGGGCGTTAGGCCCTGATCGAGATTATGTTTATGCCGTACTGCAGCAAAAAATGCGAGCGATTGGTTGCCGCCAGGAAACATCTTTTGCTATCTGGAGACTATGCTGGCGTAACGGGGTTTTTACTTCAAGTATAAGATGAATTGCTGCGGATTGTGCTTTGGAGCTTGGTTGCTGGTGTCGCTACAAGGTCCTGCTGTGCCGCTGCAGGGTGCCACTACAAGGTGCTGCTGTCAAATTACTGTGTGTGCTTTTCTACAATGATCCCGCCTTAGAAAAAAAGTTTGAGTGCTGCGAATGCCTTTTGCTATCTTTGCTCTCTGCTCGCGTAATTTCAATCTTTTGATTGGAATCCTTTTGATAAATCCAATCCACAGAGGCTTTGGCTCACAAATCCAAAGTCGAGATGCAAGCAGCAAAAATAGGAATTTAGACAAAACTTTCCAAAACGTGGTTTGTGTTTCGTTTCATCCGATTGCGATTTTCACAAGACCTGGAATGATAGGAACGCTACTGAGTGAGGGCTGTTTGCATGCCATTCACCCCAGTCCTTGACAGCATTTGAGAAACCTACGAGGGATTAATCCAAACTCCTTCAGCAGTAACATCCAGTATCCACTTGCCAGACCTTTCGATTTTTTCTGGCAAGTCACAAAACTTACTGCCAGAAGGTGTGGAGCCTTCTGTGGTCACCTGCAACACCGCCATCTCCGCCTTTGGCAGAAGATCCCAGTGGTGGTTGGCCCTTCAGCAGCTCCAGCGTTGGCAGCTGGATCTGTTGTCTTTCAACGCAGCTATCGCCGCTTGTGCTAAGCACTGGCAATGGGCTCTGCAATTATTGATGGATATGGAAACTTATGGATGTGAACGTGATGTGATCTCCTACAATTCGACCATCAGTGCCTTGTCCTTTGTGTTTTTGGGACTTCCCATGCCTGCATGAATTGTGATTTATGACAGCTACCCAATAAGCAGTCATGGCACTGGAGAATCCAGATTTCAGGCATCCACCAAGTTATTAAAGAGTTGTAAAACAGACTACCAGATGCCGCGAGGGGGGTGGTTGGAGAAGAACTGCTTCGCAGTGACTGCAGAGGTGCTTGCGGCAAAGCAGCGCAGTGGCAGTTGGCGCTGCAGATCTTCTGGCACTTGGGCGTGTTGCGCCTCCGGCGGACGCTGGTGACGTTCAATGCGGCCATCAGCGCGTGTGGCGAGTGGCGGAAGGCCTTAGAGCTCCTGGGGCATTTGGAGATGACGCCTAGTGTGGTGACTTGAGTTGAATCTTGGGAAGGGCTCCCAGGCTTGCTAGCTGTCATCCAGCAACACTGGAGGTTGAGTTACAAAATAAAGAGAGTTGCCGATGACAAGTGGGTGTCAAATCTGTTTCGACCTGACAGGGACCACTGATGAGATGGCCATTTTGTCTCAGTGAACTGTCCCTTATGTAAACAATTTTTACGTGTACTAACTTGTATATGTAAACATTTTGGGGATGGTAGGTCCTAGTGGTTGTGACATTTGGGGTTCTATGTTGGATACCTTCATTTCCGGTACAACTTTAGATCTGGACTCCAGGGCCCCAGGGACTTCTGCCAGTGTTTTTCCCCCCATGAGGTGACTGTAAGTGCAGCTATCAGTGCCTGCGGAACCTGCAGTGAATGGTGCTGGGCTCTGGCTTTGCTTCAGGAACTTTGTGAACGACATCCACAGGTGGCAGAATGGGGCCAAAATCAACAACTCTTGTAAAAAATAGAATGAAAATAAAAACAAAGATAGTGACGCCCAATCACAAAATTTGATAAATGGCGTTAATATCCCAACTCTTGAAGCCTTCCAACGTCTCTTGAAGGGCACATGAGTTCACCAGGGTCCCGTTGTGCACTGAGACGAGTCCAGGATCTCAATGAAGTCCCTTTCAATGCAGCCATGAGTGCATGTGAAAGGTCTGATGAATGGCAACAGGCGCTGTTGATGTTGTCAGCTCTCAATTCCTATCGCTTACGGCTCTCCACAGCGACATGCAACACTGTCATCAGTTGTTTGGGAAATGCTGGGCTCTGGCAAGATGCCTTGGGATTTTTATTTCAACAGCGCTTTCGTGCCGACAGAATCTCCTTAAACGCAGCCATCAGTGCATCTGAAAAAGCAGGGGAGTGGTGCCAAGCAATGAAAGTGTTTGACCGGTTCGGATCCCTTCAACTGACGCCTGACATTTTGAGCTACAACGGCATCATCAGTTCTTTTGAGAAAGCCAACCAATGGCAACGCGCGCTGGACATTTTGTGGACTTTGCCAATAGGTCTGAGGCCAACAATTATCACCTACAACGCCACGATCAGCGCCCTGGAAAAGGCTGGAAAATGGCAGCTGGCACTTGATTTGCTAAAGGTCTTGATGGATGAGTTGCTGGCACCTACACATATCACATATGCTGCTGCTATCAGTGCTTGTGAGAAATCTGGGGAATGGGAACGAGCATTGATTTTGTTGAAGGACATCCATATTTGCAAGAACCATTTGTTTTTCCTATCGAAAGTTGTGTTTGGGTTTTCCTCCTTCCTTATTGGCCATATTGGGTACGTGTCAACACTTGGTACTGCAAATAGGATTGTTTTCCAATACTAACAACCAACCTTTGGGAGTCCCATTGCTGGAAAGTTTGAAGCATTCCCCATTATTATCGCGTTTTATTCCCCAACAACGCAAGCTAATGGGGTCTTCAGCCCAGAATAGCTCCGGTGTGCACTGGTGCAGGCGCCGGGTCAGGTTCAACGAGGTTCCGGAGAAAGTTCCGAAGGTTTCGGAGAAAATCTGGATTGCTTTGGTGCAGAGCCAGGTTCAACAGGGTTCCGGAGAAGGTTCCGGAGAAGGTTCCGGAGAAGGTCAGGGAGGCTTTGGTGCAGAGCCAGGTCACGTTCAACAGGGTTCCGGAGAAAGTTCCGGAGAAGGTCAGGTTCAACAGGGTTCCGGAGAAGGTTCCGGAGAAGGTTCCGGAGAAGGTTCCGGGAGTCTTTGGTGCAGAGCCAGGTCAGGTTCAACAAGGTTCCGGAGAAGGCCCCGGAGAAGGTTCCAGGAGGCTTTGGTGCAGAGCCAGGTCAGGTTCAGCAAGGTTCCGGAGAAGGTTGAGCCAGGTCAGGTTCCACAGGGTTCCGGAGAAGGTTCTGGAGAAGGTTCTGGAGAAGGTCTGGGAGGCTTTGGGGCAGAGCCAGGTCAGGTTCAAAAGGTTTTGCGGCCATTTTACACACGGAAACCCAGCTGAGGTGTGTCCAGCGCTCGGCTTCGCGCCATGCTCCACAAAAACAAATGAAAATAAAACGTTGCGGCTGTTGGGGATACCACCGAAGCTTATTTATTTTTCTCATCCGATTCATTCGCGTTTCCTCCATCTTGATGTCTTGATGATATTCCCCATTGAGTGTCTCGTTCCCAGGTTCCTGGGAGGGATGGGAAGGACACCTATTGCCTCCAGCTACAGACCAACATTGTGGTGTACAATGCAGCGATTTCGGCTTGCGAGAAGGGCGGGCAATGGCAACATGCCTGGCTCTTGTTGCGACACCTCGAAACAAACTGTAACCTGGATTAACCTGGAGGCACTGGATGCTGCTTATTGCATTGTTCAATGGCTGCGAAGGGCCACACGTGGTTTGTTTTTTGACGTTTTTTGGTTGCTTTCCTCGAAATTCTTGCAAGAACGTCCTGATCGGCCTTTTGCGCCTTTGACTCTCTCTCTGTCTCTCTACCTTCATTTTTTGTGCTGAATCCCATCACCCCAACAACCAACAACCACAAATTTATCTTCTGTATGCTGTACCATGCTGTACCCAGCCGTACCCAGCCGTACCCAGCCAATATCACCATTATCCAGAGAGGTGACATACTCATCATACTCCTTCAAAAGCGAAGCACCATTCAACGCACAGAAACTCCTAGAAACTCCTAGAAGTCCTAGGTACTTCCGAGATTTCTCCGTCTCTGGTGACCTTCAACGGTCTACTTAGCGCCTTTGAAAAGGGCAACCAGTGGCGCTTGGCGCTGCAGCTGCTCCGTGGTACGGCCACCGCCACGTCTGCCACAGCGACCTCCATGGACGGCTTCACGGTGAGCGCCGCAGTGAGCGCCTGCGAAAAGGCTGCACGGTGGCGCTGGGCGCTGCGAATGCTGACAGATCTGACAGTTCTACCAGTTGCAGTTGTCGGACCTGTTGGAACAGGAACTGTAACAACTGTAACAACTGTAACAACTGTATCAACTGTAACGATGGGACAATTGGGACAACAGTTCGAAGTGGGACATCAGCTGGTGGCCAGCAATGGGGCCATGAGTGCTTGTGAGAAATCAGGGCAGTGGCAGGCGGGGGTTGATTGAGCCAAACTGGTGGAGTGTGGCGTTGGAGACTCGTTTTGAAAGTTTTGAAAGAGTTTTCAAGTGAGTGTTTGAAACAGTTTCTGTTTGAGAGCAGGGGTTCACCTCCTTGAGGTCGCCCTGAGTATTCTCCGCACCTTGAAGTACCAGCGGATCAGTGTCAGCAGCGTCAGCTACCACGCGGCCATCGGCGCCTGTCGCAGGGCGCAGCAGTGGCAGATGGCCATCCAACTGTTGGCCGATGCCGTTGATCACCTCGGATCAAGGCTGATGAAAATTCTGACCGTCCGAGCTGATGTTTTTCTTTGGGCCTAACAGGTTTTGACGATGTTGGACCCTTTTTTGGTAGATAAGCAAAGTCCAAATTTTAGTTAATAGAATTCATTTTTGCAAAACACACCTGCAGTTTTGTGGATTTCTGCAATTTCCATCAATTTCCCAGTTTTTGGGTTTTTTTTGGGTATCCCCTGGTTGCACCGCAGGCTGCGTTCGGACGCCGCACTCAGTGATGCCACGGCGAATGCCTGTGAAGCTGCCAGCGAAGCCTCGGCGGCGCAAGAAACGCTGGGGGCCTTCGACGTGCCGGGACTGGTGCGGCAGATGCGGCAGCAGCGAGAAAAGAGCCCTTGGATTCGCCTTGGATCGGTTCGTTTCGGTTAGATCTTGTAGATCACTTGGGCGTTGGAGAGTTTCCCCAAGCCTTTGACGGGTTTGTAGAAAATGACTGAAACAAACATGTTGAACATTGAAAACAATGAACACTTGATTGATGGATGGATTGAAAGCATGATATACAGATTGATTGATCGATCGATTCATTGATTTGCAAACAGTTTTGGAACTCGATGTTGCCTATTGAAGAGACATTGAAAAATATTGAAAGTATGGTTCACAAAAAGGTCACGCATTGGATGGTTGTCCCGACCAAATCTGTGCCACCAAGCTGTAGCCCTTCTGGTCCCATTGCCATGATCCGCTTGTCTCAAGAAGTACAATCCACCCGTACATTCCAATCATTCCATCTGGTGGCAACAAGTAAGCAATGGATTGATTCGGGTCGGAACTAAGCCGCGCAGTTTGGAATACATTATTTTGAATGTTCCCTGGCAAATCTTCGGATCCAGCTCCGTGAGTCAGGCACAGCACCCTCTCCCAAACTTTGGTCAACCTCAACCATCTGTGGACGCCCAAGTGGGGGTTCTCGTATGTTTTCCCTTGGCTTGCAGGGCGGCATGAGCGCCGGAGACAAGCTGATGCTGCGCGAGAATTGCATTCAGGTAGCTTCAGCGGGTTGAGATGAGAAACCTGGAGGGACATCTGCTTGAGCGTCACAATCAACCACGTATATTTCGATGGTTTTGCGATGTTTCGCATGTGGTAAACATATTAAGTTCGAATCACATGTCTATGTCCTTCGTTCTGGGTGGATGTTGCAGCGGTTGTGGTCAATCACTAAGATCCACATGTCAATGTGAGTTGAAATTAATGGAAGGAAGATCGTAAAGTTTCAGCACCCCAAAATTCATATGGTCATATGGCCAGTCTCAATAGGCTAACATCATTTTTGAACACCCAGGATGGGTGTGGATCAAAATTCATTCTCCCTGCGACGGAGGCTCGGTGATCTGACCCATCTCGAGAGATGACATGCTGATGTGATTAGAGAGTCTCCGACTGAAGCAGCTTGATTGGAATGTCTATTGGCTACAGATGCTACAGGAGTAGTGAAGGTAAATGGAATTCAAAAAAAAACTTAAATGTTTTTTTTGATCGACTCGAAGTATCCATTAACGTTTTCGGTGTCTCTTCGCTTGTGAGGACTCTACAGTGATCTCCTACACGGGTCCCTCGCGTCCAAGTCCAGACCAGGCACAGGACAAGGGGCCACCTACCTCTTGGACCCTTGGGCAATACAAAAACAAGGGTCAAACTTGATTCACCCACAGCCCACAGTTTTTTTTGGAATCACGTTGAATCCATCAAGAGTTTCGCGAATTCTCAGGAGAACGTTAATTGATTTGTTGATCTGTTGGACCAACCATTTACATCAAGGCCCCTTCACCTACTGGCCACAGGAAGAGCTGAATACGGCCACGTGCCCAGACAACCACACACAGGCCGCCGAATCCTACAGAGTTGGGCTGTTCTGGTCTGTCATTTCCCAATTTGTTGTCCCCAAGTCTGTCAAGCTTCGCAAAACTTCAACCTTTGTTCCGTTCTTGAGGTTTGATCCTCGAACCAAGAGTTTCTCCAAGTGTTCGTCCATTGTTTTTACTTTCTTTTACTTTCTTTTACTTTCTTACTGTCGACATTATTCAACATCTTTCGTGACGAGATCATCCCGGGTGGGTGCCATGCGTCTCGTCACCGGCGTCTCCGAGCGTGTCACGTCGTCAGGGCCGCTGCGTGTCACGTTTGATGGTGCGGCTGCGCTACTGTGCTGCAGCGCTGGGCTCCACGCACAGCTGCTTCGTCGACAGCGACTTCCTTGTGGATGCGGGGGAGGTGCACATCACGAATGCAAAAATAATGGACATCACAAAAATTCACAAAATATATCACAAAGGATTAGAATGATATAACTTAACTTACAAGGCTTACATCATGGGGATGGAAATCATGTTTCCCCATGATTTTGCTGTAACATGATTTAGCCATCAAACATGCTGGGCTAATCATCAACAATCGATGTTTAAGCAGAAGCGTGGCAAACAGTCTGAAAATGATTGGTGGTTGATGGTGATCTAAGATGCTTCAAGCCTTCAAGAGATGAAAGGGATATAATATAACCCCTAAACCAATCTTAGTCAAGAATAGCTACCAAACTTATCCTATCTCTTCAGAATTATACGGACGTAGATATTCTTCGGATTTCTTCCTTACAGTGATGAAACAAGACATGTGAAGATCGCTTGTTTTGGGTTTCAGCCAAGAGCTTTTTTGTTTCATGGCACACAATGGAAGTAGGACCTGTGGGACCTGTGGGACCTGTGGGACCCGTGGGGCATGAAGGTGCGTTTCTTCGGGGCGCCCGGCATCGACGGTTTGGTCATTCTGGAAGAAGACCATGAGAGCTTCACCTTGAGGCTCGACACGGCTCGACACGGCTCGACATGGCTCGATGAACCCCGAGGATGTTTACCACCAAATTTAGGCTATGAGTCGGCTATGAGCATCTTCGAGTTTTGGATGACGTAAAGAGTGACTTGAAGTGTGACTTGAGGCAGCAATTGACTTGGGATGGAAGAAAGCTGATAGCAGAGCCCGCTCTGTGTGATGTTTTTCCAGGTGGTTCGCCTTCCCGTACTTGGACATGGCAATATAGAATCACCGGAACAAGAACATTATCCACATTTCTGATCCATTTATGTTTTTCCCCAGATAGCTGGCAAGCTATAGGGGTTCTTACTTCTCAAAGGTGGGGTCTTCGGTGGCGAACTTTTGGCCAAGGTGCTGTGCAGGGTGCTGTGCAGGGTGCTGTCCAGACTGCCGTGGCAGGGTGTTGTGCAGGGTGCTGTGCAGGGTGCTGTACAGATTGCGGTGGCGAAGTCTGGCAAGGTGCTGTGCGGGGCTGTGCAGGGTGCTGTGCAAGGTGCTGTGCAGGGTGCCGGCCAGAATGCGGTGGCGAACTTTTGGCCAAGGTGCTGTGCAGGGTGCTGTGCAGGGTGCTGTCCAGACTGCCGTGGCAGGGTGTTGTGCAGGGTGCTGTGCAGGGTGCTGTACAGATTGCGGTGGCGAAGTCTGGCAAGGTGCTGTGCAGGGTGCTGTGCAGGGTCGATGCGGTGGCGAAGTCTGCAAAGGTTGCTGTGCAGGTTGCTGTGCAGGTGCTGTGCAGGGTGCGTGCAGGGTGCTGGGCAGGGTGCTGCGCAGTGTGCTGTGCAGGGTGCTGTCCAGACTGCGGTGGCGAAGTCTGGCAAAGGTGCTGTGCAGGGTGCTGTGCAGGGTGTTGTCCAGACTGCGGTGGCGAAGTCTGGCAAAGGTGCTGTGCAGGGTGCTGTGCAGGGTGCTGTGCAGGGTGTTGTCCAAAGAGTGCGGTGGCGAAGTCTGGCAAAGGTGCTGTGCAGGGTGCTGTGCAGGGTGCTGTGCAGGGCTGTCCAGACTGCGGTGGCGAAGTCTAGCAAAGGTGCTCAGACTGCGGTGGCGAAGTCTGGCAAAGGTGCTGTGCAGGGTGCTGTGCAGCTGTGCAGGCTGTTGTCCAGACTGCGGTGGCGAAGTCTGGCAAAGGTGCTGTGCAGGGTGCTGTGCAGGGTGCTGTGCAGGGTGCTCTGCAGGGTGTTGTGCAGAGTCCGGTGGTGAAGTCTGGCAAAGGTGGTGTGCAGGGTGGTGTGCAGGATGGTGTGGAGGGTGCTCTGCTTGGTGTTGTCCAGAGTGCGGTGGCGAAGTCTGGCAAAGGTGCTGTGCAGGGTGCTGTGCAGGGTGCTGTACTAGTGCGGTGGCAAGTCTGGCAAAGGTGCTGTGCAGGGTGCTGTCCAGACTGCGGTGGCGAAGTCTGGCAAAAGGTGCTGTGCAGGGTGCTGTGCAGGGTGCTGTGCAGGGTGCTGTGCAGGGTGCTGTGCAAGGGGGCTGTGCAGGGTGCTGTGCAGGGGGCTGTGCAGGGTGCTGTGCATGGTGTTGTCCAGACTGCGGTGGCGAAGTCTGGCAAAGGTGCTGTGCAGGGTGCTGTGCAAGGTGCTGTGCAGGGTGCTGTGCAGGGTGCTGTCCAGACTGCAGTGGCGAAGTCTGGCAAAGGTGCTGTGCAGGGTGCTGTGCAGGGTGCTGTGCAGGGTGCTGTGCAGGGTGCTGTGCAGGGTGCTGTGCAGGCCGGGTGCTGTGCAGGGTGCTGTGCAGGCCGGGTGCTGTGCAGGGTGCTGTCCAGACTGCGGTGGCGAAGTCTGGCAAAGGTGCTGTGCAGGGTGCTGTGCAGGGTGCTATCCAGACTGCGGTGGCGAAGTCTCGCAAAGGTGCTGTGCAGGGTGCTGTGAAGGGTGCTGTGAGAGGTGCTGTGCAGGGTGCTGTGCAGGGTGCTGTGCAGGGTGCTGTGCAGCGTGCTGTGCAGCGTGCTGCGCTTTGGTTCCCACGTTGGCAACCATCAGTTCCAACCTTTAGGAACTGGAAGTTCTTTGCAATGGTAACCTATGGTTCCCAGGTTGGGAAGCATGAATTCCAACCTCTGGTAACCGGCAGTTGCTTGCAATGGTAACCTCTGGTTGCCAGGTTGGGAACCATGACTTCTAACCTGTGGGAACCGGCAGTTCCTTGCAATGGTAACCTGTGGTTCCCACGTTGGCAACCGTGAGTTCCAACCTTTGGGAACCGGCAGTTCCTTGCCATGAACCAAACGCAAACATTCCGGTACCGGCCCATTAAGCAAAACAAAGCGTTCTGTACCGGTCCATTAAGCAAAACCATAAAATTGTAAAGAAACTGTTTTCATATCATTTTGACATGCACCTTTTTCGTGCAAAAACATTTTTATGCCGGCCCAACAGCCAAACGCAAACATTCCGCTACCGGTCCATTAAGCAAAACAAAAGGTTCTGTTACCGGCTCAGTAAGCAAAACAAAACAACATTAAGAACCATGAGTTCTAACTTTTTGGAATCAACAGATCCTTCCACTGGTAATGTATGCTTTTTCAGGTTTGGAACCATGAGTTTCAAGCTTTCGCAACCGGCAATTCCTTACAATGATAGTTGCTTAGCTTCGAAAGCATAACTTCTAACTTCTGGGAACCGGCAATTCCTTGCAATGGTAACCTCTGGTTCCCAGGTTGGGAACCGCAAGTTTCAAGGTCTGGGAACCGGCAGTTCCTTGCCATGGTAACCTTTGGGACCATCAGTCCCAACCTTCAGGAAACGGAAGTTCTTTGCAATGGTAACCGGTAACCTATGGTTCCCAGGTTGGGAAGCATGAGTTCCAACCTCTGGTAACCGGCAGTTGCTTGCAATGGTAACCTGTGGTTCCCACGTTGGCAACCGTGAGTTCCAACCTTTGGAAACCGGCAGTTCCTGGCCATGAACCAAACGCAAACATTCCGGTACCGGTCCATTAAGCAAAACAAAGCGTTCTGTACCGGTCCATTAAGCAAAACCATAAAGTTGTAAAGCAACTGTTTTCATATCATTTTGACATGCACCTTTTTCGTGCAAATACATTTTTATTCCGGCCCAACAGCCAAATGCAAACATTCCGCTACCGGTCCATTAAGCAAAACAAAAGGTTCTGTTGCCGGCTCAGTAAACAAAACAAAACAACATTAAGAACCATGAGTTCTAACTTTTTGCAATCAACAGATCTTTCCACAGGTAACGTTACTTTTTCAGGCTTGGAACCATGAGTTTCAAGCTTTGGGAACCCGCAGTTCCGTACAATGAAAGCCGCTTAGCTTCGAAAACATAAATTCTAACTTCTGGGAACCGGCAATTCCTTGCAATGGTAACCTCTGGTTCCCAGGTTGGGAACCGTAAGTTTCAAGGTCTAGGAACCGGCAGTTCCTTGCCATGGTAACCTTTGGTTCCCACATTGGGAACCATCAGTTCCAACCTTTAGGAACTGGAAGTTCTTTGCAATGGTAACCTGTGGTTCCCAGGTGGGAAGCGGCAGTTGCTTGCAATGGTAACCTTTGGTTCCCAGGTTGGGAACCAGGAGTTCCAACCTCTGGGAACCGGCAGTTCCTTGCAATGGTAACCTTTGGTTCCCACGTTGGCAACAGTGAGTTCCAACCTTTGGGAACCGGCAGTTCCTTGCCATGAACCAAACGCAAACATTCCGGTACCGGTCCATTAAGCAAAACAAAGCGTTCTTTACCGGTCCATTAAGCAAAACCAAAAAATTGTAAAGAAACTGTTTTCATATCATTTTGACATGCACCTTTTTCATGCAAAAACATTTTTATTCCGGCCCAACAGCCAAATGCAAACATTCCGCTACCGGTCCATTAAGCAAAACAAAAGGTTCTGTTACCGGCTCAGTAAGCAAAACAAAACAACATTAAGAACCATGAGTTCTAACTTTTTGGAATCAACAGATCCTTCCACTGGTAACGTATGCTTTTTCAGGTTTGGAACCATGAGGTTCAAGCTTTCGCAACCGGCAATTCCTTACAATGATAGTTGTTTAGCTTCGAAAACATAAATTCTAACTTCTGGGAACCGGCAATTCCTTGCAATGGTAACCTCTGGTTCCCAGGTTGGGAACCGTAAGTTTCAAGGTCTGGGAACCGGCAGTTCCTTGCCATGGTAACCTTTGGTTCCCACATTGGGAACCATCAGTTCCAACCTTTAGGAACGGAAGTTCTTTGCAATGGTAACCTATGGTTCCCAGGTTGGGAAGCATGAGTTCCAACCTCTGGTAACCGGCAGTTGCTTGCAATGGTAACCCATGGTTCCCAGGTTGGGAAGCATGAGTTCCAACCTCTGGTAACCGGCAGTTGCTTGCAATGGTAACCCATGGTTCCCAGGTTGCGAACCAGGAGTTCCAACCTTTGGGAACCGGCAGTTCCTTGCCATGAACCAAACGCAAACATTCCGCTGCCGGTCCATTAAGCAAAACAAAAGGTTCTGTTACCGGCTCAGTAAACAAAACAAAACAACATTAAGAACCATGAGTTCTAACTTTTTGCAATCAACAGATCCTTCCACTGGTAACGTTACTTTTTCAGGCTTGGAACCATGAGTTTCAAGCTTTGGGAACCCGCAGTTCCTTACAATGATAGCCGCTTAGCTTCGAAAACATAAATTCTAACTTCTGGGAACCGGCAATTCCTTGCAATGGTAACCTCTGGTTCCCAGGTTGGGAACCGTAAGTTTCAAGGTCTGGGAACCGGCAGTTCCTTGCCATGGTAACCTTTGGTTCCCACATTGGGAACCATCAGTTCCAATCTTTAGGAACTGGAAGTTCTTTGCAATGGTAACCTGTGGTTCCCAGGTGGTAACCTTTGGTTCCCAGGTTGGGAACCAGGAGTTCCAACCTCTGGGAACCGGCAGTTCCTTGCAATGGTAACCTTTGGTTCCCACGTTGGCAACCGTGAGTTCCAACCTTTGGGAACTGGCAGTTCCTTGCCATGAACCAAACGCAAACATTCCGGTACCGGTCCATTAAGCAAAACAAAGCGTTCTGTACCGGTCCATTAAGCAAAACCATAAAATTGTAAAGAAACTGTTTTCATATCATTTTGACATGCACCTTTTTCGTGCAAAAACATTTTTATGCCGGCCCAACAGCCAAACGCAAACATTCCGCTACCGGTACATTAAGCAAAACAAAAGGTTCTGTTACCGGCTCAGTAAACAAAACAAAACAACATTAAGAACCATGAGTTCTAACTTTTTGCAATCAACAGATCCTTCCACTGGTAACGTATGTTTTTTCAGGTTTGGAACCATGATTTTTAAACTTTGGGAATCCGCAGTTCCTTACAATGATAGTTGCTTAGTTTCGAAAACATAAATTCTAACTTCTGGGAACCGGCAATTCCTTGCAATGGTAACCTCTGGTTCCCAGGTTGGGAACCGTAAGTTTCAAGGTCTGGGAACCGGCAGTTCCTTGCCATGGTAACCTTGGTTCCCACGTTGGGAACTGAACCATCAGTTCCAACCTTTTCTATCTGGGGTCTATGCCGGTGTAATTTTTTAACGGCAAACTCTCATCTATATGATTAGAGATAACATAGGGGATTTTCCATCTCCCAAAGTCTGTTCACCCGTTGTACAAACCAGTTGCGAATTTCTGGTATGATGTGTAATGCATATCTATTTGCTGGAGATTGCTCATCCTAAAGTCTGGTTCCACTAATTCTATTTTTCTATTTCTTTTGCCAACCATTCTGGGCCCCAATCAAAACTCCGAAGGAATGTTGTCAATTCAAGCTTCTTGAAGGTAGTTTCCCACATTTGTCTTCTGGTCTTTTGGCCTTCGCAAAACTCAAACCTCATGCCCCCAAGTATAGTATACTCCTTCATCAATCACTTGCCACTTGATTAACCGGTTATGATCAACTTATGAAGCAACTCTTCCGTTGTACTCGTGTCGTCATTGCTAATCACTACTTAATCATTAGAATATCGCAAACCTCAAATTACTAGCAGGACTACGTTAGGATTTTATCAGCTTATATCAGCTTTATATCTTGGGGCAGCTGGGGCTTAGTTCCATTTTTGTTGGCTTTGCATGGGATGGCTGCAGGTACCTTACTACCTGGGTCTCATCCTTGGAGATGCCGTTGTGGCGCTACGCGTGCTACGGCTCATGCGGGTCGTGAGACTTTTAAAGCGCGGGGCCCCGGGGTACAGCGCATTACAGTGCGGCATCTTTTTGGGGACTGAATCGCCATCATTTGGATGAGATAACTTGCAGGAAACCCGTTGGAAACACCATGTGCTGAGGATGGGTTTTCTGGCTGGGCTATGATGGCTGATGTCTGTTGGAAACACCATCTCTTGGACATGTGACATATGCTGAAGCCAGGGCATAGATGGCATAGAGGGGTTAGGACGATTTCTTGATAGGTTTTGCATGTGTTTCCATGTGTTCCTATATATTCATATAGTGTATATAAATAAACGTTCATATAAATATAACTATAAATTCAATATACATACACATATACATGTGAATATACATACAAATATGAATATGAACATATAGATAAATATAAATGCAACTAAATAAAGCAACTACTCGTACTTGCATATGACGCCTTTGCAAGTCTCCCTATTCAATGGTCATTTCAGGAACCTAAATTGGAGGTACCTACCATATATAAGGCCTACATAAGGCCTATGTAAGTGAATATCCCCACAAAATATGGCCTTATATGGTACAGTACCTCGATTTTAGGATCCTGAAATTCCCATTGACCTATGTTGAAACACATGGATTTCCCTGTAAGTAGAACCACCAACCGGAGGATGTTGTACAGTCGTTGATCTGAGGTTAGCCAAGCATCATCCCGGCATCCAGTTGTGTGTAGAGGCCGAGTGGCATCCAGCATGATCAGATTTTGGGGTTATCCAAAAACGGCTGGTTTAAGCAACCAAAATGAAGATTTAATGGGGATACTTTATGGGATATAGTCGATATAATGGGATACTATGTTTTTTTTTCACTGACCAACTTGATATGACACTTGAAAGTTGTCCAAAAAATGGGTAAACCCCAATACATGGCAACTTGAAAAGGAACATAGCTGTTTAGTGCTGTTTTTTTTTGAAGCATTTTCCGACAAACCCTACTGTCACGACATGACCAAACATGTTGAGTCAGGCCACATGGCATCGGAATAGTTAAGTTGTCGGAATGTTAGCTGCTAGCCTGGAATGCACACTGAAATCGCCTAACTGATGATGTAGCTGTAGCTCAAGGTTTTTTTCGACAATTGATCGACATCTGACAGCATGGGTTTTGAATCTCAGGGACCATCTTTGGCATTGCTTGGTGGAAAGATGGTCCCAGAATGTCCCAGATGGATCCTGCCAGGCCATGGTGGAAAGCGGATTGCCGCTGGCCATTCTTATGCGGCTCGGAGATGATTTTGATCATCGGCTGGGCTGCATCGGATGGTTGACGTATCATGATGGGTAGAGTGATATATCAGATAAGAATGGTGAGATATGATATGATTCCATATGATATGAAATTATATGAGAAGATAAGAACAGATAGACAGACAGACAGGCAGGCAGGCAGGCAGACAGACAGAGAGTTAGATAGATGGATGGATGCTTAGATGAATGGACGGACACATGGATGGATGGAGGGAGGGTGGGTGGATGGATGGATGGATGGAGGGAGGGAGGGTGGATGGATGGATGGAGGGAGGGAGGGTGGATGGATGGATGGATGTAGATAGATAGTTAAGTAGATAGGTAAGTAGATAGAAGGGCGGATACATGGATAGATGGATAGATGCATCGATGGACTGGACTAGAACAAACTAGACCAGATTAGATGAGACAGATCGATGGACAGAACCTCTAAATGCACCAACACATGTGATGAACCATAAACGTGGACAGAACAGCAGGAGAACTGTTGGGTAGATTGGAAAGCCACCTTTTAGCCATGATTTGTCATGATTTTTATGAATCGGCACACGCAACGAACCCATCGCCAAGGTTCTTCAACACCATTTTTGGCATTATCTTTGCCTCAGCAATGTTTTACTTCGAAGGTGCCCAGGGATCTGGGATAGCCACTTTGCAGAAAACACTTGGGAAGTACAGCAGACATCAGCAGACATCAGCAGACATCAGCAGAATCGACTTGGGAAGTTTACCCCAGTGCTGGTCAGGACTATTGTGTCTTGGGCCATTGGGTCTCCGTGTCGCCAGGTTCAGACTATTCGGTGGACCCACAGTTCACCAATAGCAGCTTTCCGACAGGTGCCGGGCAATCAATCCCGTGAAACCGGTCAGGATATGGCTGTAGCAACAGTGTAATTTTGAGCCATGGTGGGCCATAACCATGTTGGTTGGTTAATATATCCATTTTCCTATAGATATCACCGTTCATGTTAGTTGATATGAATCACATCCCATGTTTGTTGCATAAAATGTCCATTTCATAGCCTAAATCACCCCCAAATTCCCCAGCTTAGGTTGCCCTGTCCCAGGTGTCTTTGTGCGTAAGGATGCAGACGGCCGCTGGGGGGAGCTGATGTCAGTGGTTTTTCCCGTAGCCAGGGAAGAGTTGATCCACCCAGCGCTCAGCACATGATGATCTCAGAATCCATGGTATACTTGCTCTCAGGTTCATTTGCTAGTAGCCGGGCACCAATCTTCTGGTAGAGTTTTTGCTTGGCCACATGTTACCGGGCTGGGCACTTTTATTCCTGGACTTCACGACGTAGCTCTTAATCCATAACACCCATGCGCAACTGGGAATAGTCTTAAATAATCTTAAATACCTTACTGTATTCAATAGAGCTTCGCACACCAGCGATGCCATAAGGGTTATGCATAGTAGTGTTCATGTGCTCTGCGCGTGCGCGCAGGAGCAGAGCACAGTGTGATGTTCTTTTTATGCCGCAGCTTGTAACCATCTTACCGTACCACACATCTTTTTGTCGCATTTTTGTGCTTGTGCTTGTTCTTCATCTTGTTGTTGTTGTTGTTGTTGTCGTTGTCGTTGTCGTTGTCGTTGTTGTTGTTGTTGTTGTTGTGGTTGCGGTTGTGTTCACAACCTCTCTGCCCCGATGCGCTCCCCCTTGCGTCTGCCGGGGTCGGCGGATATATATATATATATAATATATGCAGTATATATATATATATACAGTATATATGTATACAGTATTTGTTTATATATGTATAGTATGTATATGTATAACAATAGCCATGAGTAGGTAATGATATGGTTAGGACCCACGATGCACATCCAAGTAGGATCTCCCTGGGGTGGCACTGTGGCGCGTAACCTTTATCACTCGCAGGGACCCATCTGCCACTCGCAGGCAACGACATTCTGACGCCCTTTCGGTCGATTCCTGTGGCCCTGTGGTGGGTCTTCACCACCACCACTACGGTGCGCCCACAGTTGATGTGCACCGCGGTCTTTTAATCGGGAACCAACTGAAGGTGTACTTTTGGTCATTGACTGCAACGCATTCTTACCAATGAAATTCACATGAAGTGTTCGCAGCTGTGTTTGGAGGTGATTTGACTTTTAAATTTTCAAATGAAAATTGTACATACTGTGCCAGGTATAAGTTTATTGTGTTTTGAATCTTTTTCAATTGTTCCAGATCTCAGCCTTTGCAGACTGAACGGCCAACTGCTGCAGGTGGGCTATGGTGATATGGCCCCGACCAGCCATACCGGACGAGCATTAGGAGTGATGTGCTTCTACATAGGCGGGTCAAGGGCTGGTTCTGGATGTTGGACGCGCGGCGGATTGAGGGATCCTGCGCTGTCAACGATTGCCAACTTTTGGGTCTCCACAATCCATTGGTGCAGTTTACTTGCACCCACTTCTCTCAATCTTCATAAATATGATAAATATATATAAATATGGGGATATGTCAAAACCTATATGGAGACTAAATGACTATATGACCATGGTTTGGAGGGAAGAAGCTCCATCTATTTACACCGAATCATGGGGGTCCAGACGGTCATTTTCTGAGTGAAATCCTGAGCGAAATCGGGAGGCATCATTTTTCTAGCGCTGCCCATTGGTGTGGACCTGAGGGTGGTGGGTGTTTGAATGACATAATGTAGCTAGGACAATGTTTTTTTTTTTAAATATAGCTGGAGAAATTGGTTTCAAATATTGCTGGAACCTGGTTGAAGTAACCATTTCCTGGGCTTGAAGTACCACATAGTACCAATGGCCAATTATATAGCCAGCAAAATGGGAATAGATCAAGTACGGTTTCCAATGCAGTTTTTCAATTTTCGGACCTATTGGGATAATGATCCTCTTTCACTCATACTTTGATCGGATGAAGCCACCAAACAGGAGCTGTCGAAGCCTTTCATCAATCGCCTTTGGGTGATTCTGATCACATTTACCACAATATCCACTGGTTGATGAATGTCATCATTTTCCCTTCAAAACTGCCATAGATTGAGGTAATACCACATTCTGTAAACCCCAAATTCATAGAGACCCAATGACTTGCCATAGATAGGTGGGGATTTCATTCATCCCCAAAGAGAAGGACGGTTGATGGCATTGGACCAACCACATGATTCCAATTATGCAATCTTCATCTACTATTGTTGGTTGAACACCTATTATGAAGCATTCTTATATAATTAATAACTATTAACCCTTCTTAATCATTATTATATAACCATTATTCTTACTCTTTATTCACCATTCTTAAGCAGTTTTCAGGATTGGTGATTTGTGGCCATATGTTCATCGTTCTTTCAGCGGGGGTCGTGCTGAGGTGTTCTTAGCTCGAACTTCGAAGCAGCCTATGCCAGATACCTCGACAGGCCAGGCATCCTAATAAGTTATTAACCAGCAAACAGAGATGTATGTTGTATTATCCTAATTTGTTATTAACCAACATAGGACATATGAACAGCATGTTGTATTTCTTATGGGATAAAGATGGCATCCCAACTTTCAGTTCACCCTCCAACTTCCACTATCGCCAGGAAGCACAAGAATGCACCGAAACTCCTAGAGGCTTCGGCTATGGCCATAGGATCAGATTCCTGCAGGTGGTTTTCTGGGGTGATTTCTAGCCACCAAAAAAAAGCCAGGGAGTTTGGCCAAAAATCTTGACACTGCGAGCGTGTCTCATTTTGCTTTCATGATTGAACATCTCTCACACTGTGATATCCCACCTGTTGGTTTCCCACTCAAGCAGACCATCAAATGGTAGTCTTCGGGCAGTTTGGAACCAGAGGTGTGAGTCCAAAGCCCGACTCCAAGCCTTCCATTTCCCTGGCTAGGTTGCTCAGGAGCACTTGATGGTACACCATGCAAAGAGGTGGGGGGTGATGGGTTTGGATACCTCCCAAAGCTAGGATGCTGAAGTGGACCAGCAGCTGGTAGCATTCAAACTCTAAACAAATCTGGAGCATTCTCCTGGCAGAGAAGTATATAACGCTGATTGCATTTCATTCCCGTCTACTCCATTTGGGTGTGTAGAAAAATGAGGGATTTAGGGAAACTGTTCTAAACCATCTTTTTTTTCTTGTCTTCTCAACCTATTCGGGCAAATACTGTAAAACCGAATAATAAACTACGATTTGGGGTTTGTTTTTAACACCCATTCATTGGCAATACGTGGTATGGTTTATCATTTGGTTTATCACATCACGAAGGGTCTCTATTTCATCCTTGCTCCATTCCATTCCACGCCAGGATCAGCATGTTTTACGAGCTCAAGAGATCAGACTCGCGCTTGACCCGGAGAGGCTTCAGCAGGACCATTCGCAGATGGCAAGTCGTTCTTGATAATCCGTACCCCCATGAAATCTCTTGTTTAATAATATTTCATGTGGTGGAAGCGTCCTGAAATCATGGGGGCTTATAGCCAATTTAGCATCAACCATCCCCCATATGGACCTCCAGAAATGAACAGATCCAATGTGAAACCATTTTTTCTGGGGGGTATTTGATCTTCGGTGGATGAGATTCGTTGCAGCTTTGGCTCAGGTGCCCAGCAGGCCACCATGCGAATCCAAGCCGGATATCATGGTAGGAAACCGTTTGGAAACCACCCTACCCTGGTCTAATCAACATGGGGGTTTCCATAAATGGGGGTACCTCCAAATGGCTGGGTTTATAAGTTTGTACTGTAATGGACAATCCCATTAAAACGGATGATTTTGGGGTACCCCTATAAGTTTATAACCCCTATATTAGGAAACATCTATATCCCATTCAACTGGGAGTATTTGCATAGCCCTGGTCTTACCAGATGCGTTCCCAGCGTCTATGCACGTGGCGTCTGGGTCGACTGACAGCCATAGTCTATGACTAGACCTGCCAACGATTTCCTGAATCAACATCCAGAGTCTTCACACTGAAATACAACATACAAATACAGTATTGTCCATTGTAGTGCCTGAAAATGGGGCATACACCCCCAAATGACAATTTTGAGGAGCGGGAACATTATTTTCTTAACCACTAGAGCTTTCCCAACATTTTGTTTTTTACTGTCAATGAATTATATAATTGGTTCTCGCGAAGAATTATCAAAAACCATGGTCAACCCCAGCAATTCTTGGGGTCATCATCCCATCCCCATCCAGTGCTCCGATGACAGAGTCCAACCATGGCCCGCGCCACTTGCGACGAGTGCCCGGGGAGATGTCCCCCAAGGCGCGTGGTGGGCATGGCTAGGCTTTGAACATCTTTGAACATGTTCAAAAAAAGCCACCAAAACAAAATCGTATGGTTGAAATTCGGTTGAAGAAATCACTTTTCCAAACTTTGGCAAGTTTGGGTTGGATTCATGGCTACAATTGGAAGGATGGTAATTAGTAATGACATTTCTGGGATGGGTTGAAACCACCAATCAGATGGCTGAAGTTGGAGTTTGCCATGGGAACCCCTTCGTATATCATCCGTACATGGGTGCCCAACAGTGATGCAGCAAGATCTCCAAACACAACAGCTGGATGGTTTTCCGCACGGAAGGCGTCTGTTTGACCCACTGGGGGCTGAAACATGTCGATCACCTGATACGGTGGTGAAATCGTGGTGAAACAACCGGAAGGTTTGTGTTTACGGATGAAATATCAGGAACCCTATGATATAAGATGGACATTTGATCATCGGGATGCAGGAATCCCAACATGGGAACCGTGCGCGTCAGTTTGGGTAAGTGTGTCAGTAGTTCACATCTCAATTTGCATGTCTGCTGCAAGTCCAAGAAGTGATTGAAGGGATTCTGCAGGAACCTCCTATACTTGTGAGTCCAGTACATCATATAAACATCCTCCGATCTACTAGGTCTGATGAACGGTAACCCTTCACAAGCCCCAAAGAAAACCATCCTTTCTGGGTTCTGTTCGGATTTTGTTTCTGATTTACCACGTTTTCGTGCCTTTTGTTTGGTCAAAGCTCCTTAATTAAGGGATTCCAAATTCTACTCGACCCAGGAGGAGAAACGGAAGAATCAGATCGTTCTGGATTCAGATGAGGAAGGAGCTGTGCCAAGGAGAGCCTGCTGAGTTGAGTCTCAGTAGCTTTTCGGACTGGTTTCAGCCACCATAAGTTGCGAACCTGGGATTGGCGAAAAAAACATCTTCAACACTTGGCGCAAATCTTGGAATTGCCGGTTGAGCCAAATTATAGAGAAATCATTGCTCGCCTGGATTGCCGTTTTCAGCCACATAAATCAAGAAACGTTGATGGTTTCATGGATGGGTTACCTATCGGTTTCGCGGATAACTCACCTTTTCTACCTCCTCAGCTGCTTCACCCAGCTAATCATGCTTATAAAGCTGTTTGCGCAACCCACAGGCCTGTAGTCCGAACACCGTTGCTGGTTTTCAATCCCCCTATCAACATCCAGCGGTTTAGAGACTCCTTTTCCGATTGTTAAATATTGGCACAGATATATTGGGAGTTCTGCCCCATGTCTTGTTTCATCCGCTTTCAGCCAGGGTGCTATCGTCATTGTCCCGTCAAGAATAACATCCCCTAATCTATCCTAATCTCCACATCTCAAAGAAAACAGCAGGATTTTGAGCCTGATCTTTGATTTATCATCACTTTCCCGGCTAAAAACATGATAAAAATGTACCACCTTTTTTGGAAAAACCGAAAAACCATAGAAATCGCACAGAACCCTCCTCGGCCCACCGTTCACCTCAGGAGGCCAAAAGGCGGCGGCGCCACCACGGCCACCATGGCCACCGCGGCCACCACGGCTTCGCCCCCCGAGGATCTACCAGAGCCTCAGAGTGCCTTGGTTCAATCCCTGACATCGGTGGTTTCTTCAAATGGATCCCCAAGTCATAGGTTTTCAATGGTTTTCAGAATCAAGATATGGATAGATATGGTTTAATCTTGGCTCTTGGATGATTTGAGGGTACCCCCATGGATTGGACACCTCCATATCAGCGGCTTACTCTCCACATCTCTTCACTTATTATCTCCCGATTCCTCCTCTCTTTCACCACACCTTGAAGGAAAACGATGAAATATCAAACTGCATTTTTTTCGATATATGGATATTTCTATGGGAGATATGGGGGGGTATACCCAATTCATGTTTTTTCTTTGAGGGAACATGATGATGACAACCCCCCCATCTGAAAGGGGATGTGAAAATGGGGCAAAACCCCCCAAGTCGTGGCCATTGTGCAGCGGTTGTATTTTTTTTAAATACATGTGACAAGTTTGTTTCTAAGTCCATGATTCATCCACACTAATTATCCAGTCGTTAGCCTAGTGATGTTTAGCCGTAACCATCGAATGTGAGGTTATCCCATTTTCAGGCAAACCAAACGCTCGGACGGGGGGTAAAGTAATTGCGAGAAGTATGATCATGGGAAGATAGACTCGCAGACGCAAACATGAATCAGGAAGATGAAGACTTGATTTAATCAACAAGCTGTTATGGGGGGTCGACTACCACAAGAACGGCCTCTTTCGTTCGAGAATCGGGGGTTTAACCACTGATAATGTGGGTTCATGGCAAATGGAGAAGGCAGTATAGAAAAACGGGTGGTCAAGCAATCGTGGTATATCGTGATTCTTTAATTTGCAAAGATGATCGTTTCTTACAAATCAACATGTTAGTTTCAGGATTGAGCTCTTTCGGGCTTCCCTGCGAGATACTGAGGTGAGAGCCTCTTAGAGAACCAGGAGGAACTTTTGGGTTGGCGTAGGGTTGAAATGCGACCGAGATTAGGTGAAACGGATGAACATAATGGACGCTTGAGTTTCTACCTGAAAACCGGAACCTTCAGTTCTGGCATAGAAAAACAGGTCTGCTTCAATCGTATCCTATGTAGTCAAGGTGGATGTTTATGTTTTAGTCAAACAAGAAAGGATAGAATGGACTTGAATGGATATGGAGCTAGGGTTCAGAACCCAGAATCTCCTTCCCAACATTGTCCTGTCCACTTTGTTCATTTTGTTGGACATTCACCGACAAATGACCTATACCATCCAGTACCAGTATACAGTGAAGGATGGCTAGCCATTCCAGTGCTTGTACCCCCATGGTTCTGAGATGTTTGGCATAGATTTCTAACATTGGCGAAAAAACGCGAGACTTTCATACAAGTCAACAGTTCCAGATACTGGTACCCTCTGGTAATTTAACGTAGCTATTGAAAATGGCCATTCATAGTTGATTTTCCCATTAAGAATGGTGATTTTTCCATAGCTATGTTAGTTTACCAGAGGGCTTGGCAATGGAAATCCCCAACTGATAGAGGATTTTCCCGTTAAAACCCACAATTTAGAGGGAATTTTCCAGCCACGTTTGATAACCAGAGGATCATCTTCCGGGTTCCATGACAGTCCATGAGGACCGGCTGAACTTGGAACGCGCGGCGAGCGCGTTTCTACGGAACAGAGGCTACGTCATCGAAGATGCCCACAGCTACTGGGCTTCGGAATCTTCGGGTGAGGAAGGGTCCAGTGGGATGGATGGAGTATGATCGAGTATGTGAGATTTACTATTGAGCTGTTTTTTTTGGCATCCAAGATAAGCGATGTTTTTTGGGTATGAACATACAGTACATTACATCAGCTATGTGGAGTTTCATCCCCCGGTAGGTTTTGATCCTTCTGGTCTTTTGGTAGGAGATTTCCTGAGTCCTCCAGCAATTGAATCTTCTAATTTGTAATGTTAGTAGAGCAAGAATAAAATTAATAAACCGCTCATATTTTGATGGTTATTTATAACACCCATTTATGGTAAAAATTGGGGATAGTAATCCATCCGGGATGGATTACTATTGCTTCACTCACATTATTCCTCATGTGACGCCGCTGCGCTAGAGCTGTGTTTCTGCTGTCACACGGCTATGGCTGCGAACTCTTACACCCCCTCTAATCCCCTACCGTGGTATGGTTTTTTGATGTTTTTTGGCTACCCTGACCAAGTTTTCCCTGATGCCCAAAGTTTCTGCCCAATATTTGCCCAATGGATCCTGTGGATGATTCATATCCCCAGCAGTGGGGAGTCCATTGAAATCCATTGAACCCTATTTGACCCGAAGAATCAACCGGCAGTTATTTACGAACCATCTAATGTTGGGGAATATTCCATATATCTGGATACATTGATACATTGTAACTACCTCACTGCGACGCCAAAAAATGGCAGAACTTTTCAGGTTGGTAAATCATTCGATATTATTAAGATGTTTTCCAGACATTGTAGGTATATTATAAATGATGTTCTATTTATTATCCAGAACTATAACTTTATATGTCATACTATAACATTACATACCCTCTGGTTATTTAACATAGCTATGGAAAATTGCCCATTTATAGATGAGTTTTCATGATTTACCTATTAGAAATGGTGATTCTCCATAGCTACGTTAAATAACCAGAGGGTAATATTATATAACTAACTTCCAGCGCTGACGTGAGGTGACGTAGCTTTGAAAGTCCAACATCGCTGCCGTGCCTTCCACAAAGTTGCGCAGTGGGCAAGCTCCACCGTTCCTCAGCCTCTGCTGTGGTCTTGGAATTTTTAACCAACAAATATGGGGTTGGTGATGAATGTGATTCCCTGATAAACAACTCCCAGTTTCTTAAATTCAAAGGGGGGTTACACAGTTTGAAAGTAATTTGTCGCGATACCCAACTAATAGTCAGGGTCTACTAATCCGTCACAAAGCCTTTGTATCTCTATATACATATATATATACATATACATATATATATACATATACATATATATATATATACATATATATATATATACGTAATATATATACTTATATATATAAATATCTATGTATATTATAATATATACTCTAGGTGAATTATAATGACATGCGACGTCACCGTAGATCATGGTTGGTAGGAATCATCTTCAAACGGCCTTAAAAAAAGGCAGGTGAATTCCCCAAGAAGATGCCAAACAGCTTTTCCACAATGGACAGTATAGATGATGTTTCCCCCAACTGTCCAGCTCTTGGCATCTTTTTTGAACTTTGCTATATATATATATAGAATATACACATATAAATAAATATATATATAGACAACTAGACAACTAGCTTCTATATCCTATTCAATCCTCCCCCAAGTCCAAAAATATCTGTTGGTGAATCACCATCAAACACCAAATATTATCTGTACATCTACACCAGCCTTTGGGTGCTAGTTATGGCCCAACAGTTATACATATTTTATCAATAGAATTCTAACTCCTATAACTAGGCTTGATATTTTTTTTCATAAGCCCATAAGGCCATGATCAATGGAATTATAGCTCCAATAGCTAGGCTTATTTTTATTACCACTATAGTATATCAACCATACATAGTTCTATAATTAATATCATATAATATTATATTGCCTGTAACTATAGATGGTTATCCAACTATAGATGGTTCGCCCATTTATAGTTGATTTCCCTAGTAAAGATGGTGATTTTCCAGTTCGCGGCATGTTCGTTTACTAGTTTACTAAAGAGGGTAACGCTTAGGGCAATAACTGTCCCAAGGTGCCTCCAGTTCTCGACGAACTGCTCTCCGCCCTTGGACCTTTAGCCTCAGTGGTCTCCACTGAACTGACACGAGTGGATGCTGGGCGGAGCTAGGTGAGGCGGGGGTCAACAAAAAGGTGATTTAACCAACACAAAAAGGTGATGTAGAGAAAGGGAACATGGTGAAATTACCAGCACACATGGTGATTTAGCCACCAAACAAGTGTTTTAAGTATCAACATGGTGATTTGACCAGCAAAAGCACGTCTTTTAACCAATCAAACATGAATATATCATGGGATGTTATGGGGATAAAACTATATGCAACAAAATGATCATTTGGGTTTGTTTGGGCTCTGGGTGAAACACGAGGTAGCCCGCTGAAGCCAGGTGGTTTTACCAACAACCATGGATTTAAGATGATTTAAGCGCATTGAATTTGATCGTGACATTGGAAAGTCGAGGGATTACCGGGGTTTCGTCCAAACATGGGCGGAAAGCACCAGCATCCAATCATGGGACATCTTCAATAATTTGGGGGGCATCATCTGTGAACATGGGGAACCCTTGTTGCAAGCTTTTGGGCATTGCCGAGGGGATTCTCCACTACATAAAATGTTTGATGATATATTTGATACATGGTATGATTATGATTCATGATGATTGCATCCCACCTTGAACAACAACAAACCTTGAAGCCATCTTGACTTGGAAATGAAACCATGGGAATTTGTTGGGTCCCAAGACTTTGGGCCTCGCACCGTCAAGGAGGGCGAAGGCAGTGGCTCACTTGCATCCAGCGGCAGGGGGTTAGGGGGTTTGATGCAGCAAAAAAAAGATCCGGTGGATTCTGATGGTATTTATGTTTGTAGTTGTCGTAGTTGTTGTTCTCGCTGTAGCTGTAGTTGTAGTATTAGACGTATTATATAGTAGTATTATTATTAGTATTAGTAGTATTATTAGTGTTATTAGTATTGTCAGTATTATTATATAGTATTATTAGTATTAGTAGTGTTAGTACTATTACTCAGTAGTACTAGTAGTATTATTAGTATTACTCATATTACTATCTATTATTATTATTATTACTTGTATCATTATTATTATTTGTTGTTGTTGTTCCTGCTGTTGTTGTTGGTCATTTGCTGGTCATTGGACTCATTTTGGGCTCTACGTGGTTGAAACAGCTTGCCCACAAATTGGCGACGTCACTGGAATGATGGGACTTGGATTGAGGTAACTGTGCCCAAAATTCAAGTTAGTGAACCATCAGAATTCATCCAGAAAATTGGATGAATGAAACCCAAATGACTAAACCCAAGTGACTAAACCCAAGGGAGATCCGCCCTGAGGTGCGAAGCGCTTCAATGCCAGGTACCAGGATCTCTTGCGTCGAGGCGAAGGGATATCGGATATTTGAATGGTCTCTACCCAAAGACCTTGACGTTGGTCTCTAGGTCTCTCTAGGCATACAGTATGTAAATGTATGTAAATGCAATGTAACTATATGTAAATGTATGTACTGTAAGTGTATGTAAATGTATTTATGGTGTATGGTACATAAATATACACATGGATCTTGAATGACCTTGAGATTTGACATCTATGTTCACCCATGCACCCCGGAAGTTGCCGCAGACCGGCGGCGGGCCAAGAGCGACAGCAGCGAGGGCAAACGCGAAGTCTTCATGTCGCAGCTGTCGCATCACCTGCTTTTAAGCTACCTTGGGCGTCCAGACATGACGCTTGAAATTATGGAAAATAATGGGAGGATGGTTTGAAAATCATGAGAACGATGATGATGATGATGACGATGACGACGACGACGACGACGACGACGACGATGATGATGATTCATGATGATTCATGATGATTCATGATGATTCATGATGATTCATGATGATTCATGATGATTCATGATGATGATGATGATGATGATGATGATGATGATGATGACGACGACGACGACGACGACCCCATACATTTCCCCATATACTACGTTTGAGTAGATATTTGTCAATGTTACAATGTTATAGAAGTCATGAATCTATTGACCACCTGTGCCAACAATCTACTGACGTCCGTCGCAAGGATAGCAGGTTTTAAATGGCTTTCAGCCATAGCAGTGCCTGGGATCTAACCCTGTGTCTTGATGATTGTAGGAGGGTTATATTCCTCAATGTATTCGGCATTATCAGAATCCCTATGGAGCAACCACTTGAACGACATTTCGGGTTTGGACCCACCCATACCCAATTATCAATGCAGTCAACAGAAAAATCCAAAAGCTCAGTTGAACCTCCGACTTCGGCGGATAAAAATCCCCGGCAACAAGTCGCTGGTGGTTTCTCAACAACAACAACCAGAGGATTCCTAGTGTTGGTAAAATATGCCCATATAATCCATTAAAATCCAAGGGTTTGTGGGTTTCAATGAAGCCTGTGATTTCAAGGACGAGTTTGCTGGATATCTTCTTTGATACCGTGCGTGTGAAGCACGAGCAGCAACCCACCAGCTCAGCTCTCTTCTGCGAAACGGCTCTCACTGTGTCCGCGGATGACAAGTCAAAGAAGAGACGCCTGGATTTGGGGCTGGTGGTTTCAAGATGTTTCAAGATGTTTCAAGTGTGTGCAACACTCCCCAGTTCGGTGATCCTCCGGATGATAGCTGGTTAAGATTCGCCTTTATAAACGTGGTTGTTGCTGGTTCATAAGCCCTATGCATAAACCCAATCAGCCCAGGGGAGTTGGTTGAATCCACATGAAGGATGCCTTTTCCAGTACCCCCAACAACCGTGGCTGTTGGGTGGTTCCCTTTCCAAAATCTGAGGAAAAACCACGTCCTCCAAGACAGTGCCGCTACCCTCCAAGCCTACAGCCGTCCAGGTTGCTCAGTCAGGGCGGTGATGCAGTTGTGGTGCAGTTGGGATGAAACAAATCGCTATAAGATGCTATAACTATGTTGATCCCATAAGTTGGGATACTACCCCTGCAACTACGGTTGTATATCCACTCAAAACTGGAACGGCACCCCGAAGTCAGGAACCTCATGATATGGTAGGGGTCAAAATTTGAAGCCCAACTGGCGAGACCTCACCACGGCCCAGGATGAGTTGCATCGTCCGGCCTCCATCGTTTCGCTGCTGCTTGACACAGCTCCGGAGGTCCCGGTGCATGTGGGAAGCATCTCCGATGACCAACGCTTCTGTGCCGCGGGGTGCGATCGTGACGTGAGGAACACGGCTGATGGAGGGGTTTGAGGGACCTTTCAATTAAAAGCCTCCATTCCTGGCTTCAGAATTATCAGAATTGGCTTTGGTTGTATTGTTACCTCATTTTTGGACCGTAAGCATTCTTAGAGGGGTTGATTTTGGTTGCCCATGAACATGTGGGTCATGGGCCAAAATTCAGGACCCTTCAGGTTGCACACACTTGGGTCCATTTGTACTAAGTGTTCATCATGCATTTTTTTGCCCACCATGTGGACGTACTTTCTATTACCAGACTGTTCCTTTGCATTTTTTGGGTGTTCACCGAGATGCACCCGCATCCGCCCCATCCCTGCATAACCAACAAAGACCCTGGTGTTCCATTGAGAATGGCCAGGATCTTCCATGCTGACTCTCGTTGGGGCCCTTCCTTAGACTCCACGGTGGGACTGAAAGGCCTGGCTGCAGGGGATATGTAGGTGGAGATGGAAGCAATGGCAGTTGTCATCGATCTAACGAGCGCTTGTTTTTTTTGGATATATACCCCTGACTTGTCGCAAAAGCTTCTTTAGATTCTTACTTTTTCTAAGAATTAAGGATAGCAACCGGAGTTCTAAAGGTCCGTTGGTCAAAATGCTTCGTTCCACCATGGCCGATTCCGGTCGAATGAGCCACGCTACCCCTGGCCGGTTGGACGACTTTTGTAGAATGTCAAGGTGGCACAGTTGATTCTCAAGTGTGTTGTGGTGAAGCATGACCAATGATAGAGATGATACCAAGCCAAAATAACATAACGTTGATTTGACCCACACCATGAAAGAAGCATACCCAACAGAGGGAAGAAGAGTCGAACAGACATTATTATGGGATAAAGACAATCTATGTATATATATATATGTATATATATATATATATGTGCATACATACAATTAATTATATACAGATAGATGTATATATATATATGTATCTATGTTCCATCCTGGAAAAATGATTTGTCTATCTTTTTTTGAGGGTTTCAAGAGGTGGATCTACCTGGCTGAGCCCTGCGCAGAGGTCAGCGGCTAGGGTGCCACGGCGGCCGTGTGCTGTCAACGGCTTTTTCCCCAAACTCCGACGCACGGCAGCAGCGGATCCCCCTGTGGGAGACGCCTAGTCCTGGAGCTGAGAAAGTCTTGGAATCTGGGTGCCCTCACTGATATTCAGAATGGGGTGAAGCCAATAATGGTCACTATTAATACTATTTGATATATATTTTTTTCCAAAAAACATGGAACACATGTGGGTTTATCGAATTGGGCTTTCCAGCGGGGATTGATTGAACCTGCCATCGTCTGGATGAGCACTGGTGTGAGCTCAGGAACTCCTTCTAAGCGGAGGACAAGATGGATGCATCCAGTGCCACGGCGTTGCATCCTGGGATGTTTTGGGATCTGGATCATTTATGGGGACCTTAAACTCAATGAACCTCAAAGTAAATGACTGTCAAGATTGGGTAGATAGAGGAGACATGGAAGATCACCCTGAATTGCCTTCAGCAATTCGATGTACATGAGATTATCTGGATATGATATATCAATTAATCCACCCACATATTTCCGGGTGACATTGCTTTCCTGGAGACCAGGTTTGGACCAAACATTTGCTCCTCACAATCATAAAGCTGCTGAGTGGTTTGAACCAGCTTTGCAAACCTTTTTTTTTGGTTTCAGACTGGTTCGTGATTGATGGTTCAGACATGACTTTTCTATCCACAAAAAATTGACCTTGCATTTGACCTTGCTCCCCAAGTCACAATACCTGTAGAGCATCTTTTCTGGAATTTTGTTGATGCCACCAAACAGCCAAGTCGCTCTGGTCATAGACCTGCATACTTTTGATCTGTGAAAGCCTCCAGGCTGTGGAATACGCGCAGCAGCACTTTGGCATTGTCCTACCGACTCCAGGTTGCACTTGAAAAAAGACAAACACCTTACTGGTGCACTGAAATGTTCAATGCATACCAGAAGACTTGGGGCTCAGGAGTTGCGCCAGAGACCCATTGTAAACAAATGGCCGTGGTTGAATCATTGGATTCAGTGAAGCCATGGCTCGGAAAGAATTTTGCACCAAGGACAGGCGGATCCTGTGTGGTGTGTGGACTGGGCGCCACTGGGGCACTACTTCGTAACTTCGGGGAAGGACACCTGGCGGCATTGCCGTGGCCCAGGTGACCCTCTGTGATGATGGTTTTATGGTGGTTTTATGGATGGATTACAGTCATATAGATCTCGATTTTTGGGTGTTTTTGGGGTTAGATTCGGTTAGATGGATTTACAGACAATTTATTCGACCAAAAGTTAAAGCCAAAGTTTTAGCAGGTGATGGCTGTCCGAATCTTGACCCACAAGCAGGGTGGTTTCATTTCCAAACATCGGCCCAAGACAGCCAAAGTGAACAGATTCCTCGGCTTCGTCCACGGGATGATCTGGATTTCTGGGAGAGAATGGGAGAGCATCTGTGAGGGAAGGGAATATTCAATAAAAAGATTATTGGTTACAGTAGTGATTCACATCATTCTTTATTTGCCATCTCTTTAAAAAGGGCTGATGATCTCACAGCACTAATTACTAATGCTGAAACCATTAACTGGTAGATATGGGAGGAGCAAATGTGCTAGGGATCTCTGCTGAATGGGGTCCAGTTTCCCCAATATCACTGTGTCTTGTCAATGTTGATGTGTTGCAGACTTGGCTAACATATCAAACATCCACGGATTTATCATCATCATTTTAACACTTTCCATGGTATTTTCCACATCAAGCACAACAAGGGCCCATTTTTAAAGACCAATCCATCTTGTTGAGCCCTTGAGGATGGTGAGGCTCTCCTCTGGAGCGCAGCCCGCAGCGGCGAGCCGCTAAGCATCTCGGCGAGGTCAGAGCTGGGTGTTTGATGCTGGGGAGCTGTGGTTCCCATTTGGGGGTTTCCATAAATGGGGGTACCGGGGTACCCCAAAATGGATGGTTTATAAGGGAAAATCCAATTAAAGTGGATGATTTAGGGGTACCCCCATTTATGGAAACCCTCATGTCTGGCAGCCGCCAACAGTTTGTAGCCTCAACAGCTTTGACTCACAGCGCTGCTTGTGTCAAGATCTTGGATCAAAGCCTGACGAAAGAAGACAGGCAGACCATTGCGAACCATGACTCTGTTGCATCCCGCCAGGCATGAGCTGATGTGCCCCATCACCCATGAAATGCTCCAAGATCCGGTGGTGTGTCCGCAGCGTGGACAAAGCTTTTCAGCAGACGCCCTTCAAACCTATCTCCGACAGAATCCTGAGGGACGCTGCCCCATATGCAATGTGAATGTAGGGGGGCGTGGATGGACCAGGAACATTGTACTTCGTGACCTCATTCAGAGCATGGGAGCTCATCAGCTTCGGACAGAAAGCCTAGGAGGGAACACTTTTGTGTATACCCGTCCGTTCGTCATCATCATTGTGGGCAGCTTCGGCTCCGGAAAAAGCACTTTGATCAATCTCCTGGTTGACCCCAGCGGTAACAGAATCATTGCCGAGGAAGCAGCATCAGCAGGCGGGTGCACGCAAAGGGCTGAGAGCCTCAGGTTTGGTTTCAATTGTTCCTCCTTTCAATCCAGATTGTAGAGCTTTGCACACGCTGTAAGGGTCAGTTGTCGGGCTAGGGTGAGGCCGTTCCAGTTGTTCCCACCAACGCATCGGGGCGTTGTGTCTACTTTGTTATATAATTCGCCCAACATTTTTCCCATCAGATCCTTCCAGCCAAGGAAAGTCTTCAGTGGTGAAGTCGATCACAATGGCACTTCAAGACTTCTTGAGCTGATTGACACCCCAGGCTTTGGTGATCCGGACAAGAGTGATGCACAGACGATCAGAGAATTGTCGCGGGCAACTGTGGATATTGTGGCCGGTGTGGACCTGTTTGTGCACGTTGTGAAGAAGGACCGCATGGGCAATATCGACAGGTTCCTGCCAGAGATAATTCTGTCCGGGCTTGCAGACGACGATGAGGCCCAGAAGGAAATTGCCCGCCGGTATGTCTTCGTGGTGACACATGCAGACTCTGCTAGACAGCCCGTGGAACAAGCAAGTCTTGATGAATTCAAGGGAGCAATGAAGCTAGCTGGTGGGTTTGAATGTTTTCATTTGTATTTTCCATCCTACATCAGATATTCTGGGATTGCCGACCATTAATTGTCTCATTGCTTGGCATTTTGGGGGATGGGTTGAAAGCACCAACTAGGAAGGCCTTTTTCCCAGACATCTTGGAGTCTGCCGTGCAAAATGCCGTTTTTGTGGAGCATGGACCCAAGCTCGGAACTTCTCCTTTGGGAAATGCAGTTGCCAATCGGGATTTGATCCTGGATAGGGCTATGGAAGCAAGGGAAGTCTATCATCGCGTCTTCAAGTCAAAGTCGGTTGAGAAGATCATTCAGAAGGGGTTTGAAGACGCCATGAAGATGTGGAAACACATGGGCTTTAATGGCCACCACGTTCGCCAGATCGAACCAGAAGAGCTTGGTGCGCTGCTCAATTTCTTCAACAAGGTGATCGAGCGGAAGGCGTGGATAGAGATGACGCCTGCGACTACAAGTTGCAGTGAATTCTGCCAAGCTTGGAATAAGATCAGCTTGGCAGTGAGGGACCAGGTGGCAGTGAAGGTTGCAGAATCCGTCAAACACCAGGTTGAAGAGTCGTGTAACAAATCTTGGACCGAAAAGATCAGATCCATGGCCCGGAGCTACCGAGGGTCATTAGGTGCCGCTACAGGAGCAGCAGCTGGTGCCGTCATAGGAGCTGCCCACCTTTGTGTGGTGTCGTGAGTATGGGTCAAAATCTAAAACCCAAGAGTCCAAGAGCCTGCAGATTTTGGTCGCTTTTGAGTAGTGTGGACCTATGGACCTGGAACATGGAACCATCCATTTTGGGATACTGCAGGTAGCCGGCAGCGACTGCAATCCAAAAAGATAGGTTCCAAAATTGTAGATGCGACCAAAGATTAATGTTATGAATGATTCCCCTTGAGGGAGCAAAACACCAGTTCCAGCCTCCTTCTCAACCAAGTTCCCAAGCCGACTCTTCGGCTAAGCGCACAGGTGACTCTTCACCTTTTTCACATGGCCGCACCACGTAACGGTTCAAGGGGCCCCTGGTTTTGGGCCACACGCCAGGCAAAAGCATGCATCAAGAGTTCACCTGAGAGACAAGGGCATTGGATTGAATTAAAGAATCACTGGATGAAATCTGATGACTTGCATTACCCGAAAAGTTTTCTGAACTCTTGACATCATGCGCCTTAGCACTGAGTTGCTGAATAGGTGATCCTTTGGCTTTCTTCTCTTTACGTGAAGACTGTACGAAATTGAGATCAAATTTCAGCATCCAAATTCTGCGCTTGAAAAAGTAGGACATGGATGTCCTGCATTCTGGCTTCTTCTTTGTCATGCAATCAGCTAAGTTCCAATCGCTAGCTAGCCACATCAAACGTGTGCCACACCTTGGCAAGGCTTCTTTGAGTTGCCATGCTTGGAGTGCAGCTCTAGTATTGGAAAGGCCTAAAAGAGGGCTCTCATTCACGATGATACTGTCGTATCCACCCTTTGAATCCGTGACAAGCAAACCGGTCACTTGACAAACTTCCAATTCAGAGGCTTCTAAGACAGCTTTCTGGATATTGTATGTTCCACCACCATTGATTTCAACCCAGAGCAAACGTGAACGAAAAAGAACATCCTCAGCTTCAACTAGTGATTGGACTTCGGCATCGTTCGTTCCGATGGCCACTCGTTGCAACTTCCAGGATCGCCAACTTACCAGAACCATGGGAGCTGGTAGGCCAATTGACAAATCAGAGTTACTAAGAAAAGTCAACAACCCTCCAGTACTGCCACCCTTTGGTCTATTGAGGTGAGCTTGGTCTCCCAAACCTACAAACACCATTTCCGTCCAATGTTTGACTTTGGGTAACTTGAAAAATTTCAAAACAGTACTTGATTGTCGAACTTCTTTGATCATTTCCTGGATCTCCTGAGCAAGCTGGATCTTTGGAGAATGCGCCAACTCAGTCAGGAGTAGATTGCATCGTGCACAAAGTAGCGGTTGAGTCTGGACTGCAACCCATTGTAGAGCACCTAGAGCTCCACGACATGCTGTGATCTCATTGGACTGCATGAGTTCTTGCGACTGAGAAAAACGTTGAGGATCTATTTGAACATCTTCCAACATCTCGATGTAAAAATTCTGATCAACAACAAGACAACGGCCATACACAGGGTCAGTTTCCATATGTAAATCAGTTCCAGCATGGCGATATTCGTTTTTCTTTGCAAGTCCCCATTTCCATTTCTTATCTATTTCGGATCTTATTTTGAGCCACCTTGGGTCCTTCATGTCACCAGAGCGATGAAAATCGTCAACGTGACCTGCCATAAAACCAAGAGTTTTCCAGCGAAAATTGGGATCACCAGGCTTGAAACGTTCATCTTCAGGAACTCGCCAGAGCCAAAAACAAGCATCACATTTGATCTTGGTGGCATTGAGCTGTTTCAAAGAGTCATCTACGTTTTTCCATAGGTTACGAGGTGCTGTTGTTGAACCGTAGAAATCTTTGAGAATTCGCATGACACCATTTTCAGGAATGTTCAAGGCTTGTCTAAGTTCACTGACTCCAGTTGTCCACAAACGCTTGGCTTCTTCAGAAGGCAATGTTTGAAGAAAAGCAGTGCTCATATCTATTCCTTCTATATCCCAATCATTCTGCATGACCAATTGATAGCTCAAATTTCGCGTGAGAACCGACTGAACAGGAGAGGCTGTTTTGTAATCCTCAGACAACAAATCAGGGTGCTCAAAACCGAGCAACACAATCCTCGCCTTAGCTTTCTTCGAGGCATCTTTGGTCAAGGTGGTGCTCTCTGGTTTTTCTCGAAGTTCTTGTTGGGCTTCCTGTAGAGATTCTGCTGGTGTGTGCTTCCAAGTCAGCACCCACCTGCACCTCATGAGTCTGCCACTGGAACGAGCTTCTTGCTCTTCTAGTGCATTTTCACAACGACGCACCGCCTGATTTTGCAGAAAGGAGTTGACTTCTTTCAACTTAGCACGTTTGAACAATTCACGATGTTCAGGACGAAGTTTTTCCAAACGTACTTCGCAATCTCTGGGGTGATCAACAAACTTCTGCACTTGATGTGACGATGAAACATCGATTTCAACTTCCAAAACATAGAGCTCTTCAATCATGTCTAGGAGGTGCATGTCAAAGGAACCATCTAGCAAAGTTACTGAACCAGCATCCGTGCGAGGCTTCTTACTCTCAGGCTCAGTGGTGGCGCCATCATCCAAAAGCGCATGGCGAGAGCTAGAAGACTTCGCCTCACCAGAAGGAATACCACTACCAAGACCACTACCACGATCATTACCAACTTCATCCAGAGGATCAGGAGAGCTTGCAAAAGATGGAGAATAATCGTTGGCTGGCAAAGGTTCAGCATCAAGAACTGAAGGAACGGTTGGGTGAACTTTCACATACCTCAAATTTGATGGAATTTCCACTGCAGTATCACCTAGATCTGGAGGACTTTTGAAACTGTGCCGAAAACGTGGCAACTGAGTGCTAGGATCAGGTTCATCGGGAAGGAAAGGTCTTTCTTCTTCATCATCACCAGGTTCATCGTCAGCCATGTCAATGAAAGATCTCTTGGGTAACATGTCGCTCAAACTTTTCCAAGTGTCAGATTTTTCAGGACTGTGAAGTTCATATTCCAGTTTTTCCTGTGTTGTAACACGCCTAACACTGTGAACACTACAGCGATGCATGGTACCTGCAACAATCACCCACACGATATGACGACGAGAATCTTCGGCATGCTGATCATGCAAAATTTCATGAAAAACTACACGACCAGGACCAAGCCATTGAGAGCGGCTTGCCTTTTTCATACCTCCCCGTGGACCTTTGTCTAAGCCCTGTTTTCGCCAAATCTTCACCAAATCCATAGGATGAAAAACTTGAAGTGGCTGTCGCACCTTCGAGTTGTTGAGTTTGGTCAGAGTGTGCTGAGCCTTGACCTTTCGGGCAACATCCTCGGCAAATTGACGCCGTTGAAGAAGACTTGTGAAGTCACGCTGTGGACTTTCAGCATTGGCATGTTGCAAACTACGCTCATCTTCTTCAGTCAGAGTTTCTTGACGACCATAGACCCACTGCACAGGAGTAAATCCCTGTACAAATTCTGTTGAGTTCAGGGCATAGGTTGCCAAAGAAAACACAATCTGTGGCGACAAATCTTTGTTGGAGAGGAAAATTTTCGAGGCCACATCCTTGACTTCTTGTATAGCACGTTCTACAAGTCCGTGGGCCCAACTCTCCTTGGCAGCCGGTGGTTCAACCAAAATGTTCAGGTTGGAGAGAGTGTCTTTCATCTTTTGAGAAATCATAGTTGATGAGTTGTCAGGCACCAGAACTTTCGGTTTTGGTTTGTCCTGAAGCCAAAGCTGTGTAAAAGCTTGCAACAACATCTCAGAGTTCTCGGATTCCATCTTTGAGGCATCATAGGATTTCAAAATGGATGTGCATTTGAACTTGGTGGCTAGGTCCATGAAAACAACAATCTTGTGCTTTTCCTTAGAGCCAGGTGGATGCCATTCGTTAACATCCAAACCAACAACTTCCCAGGCGGCCGGAAGTGGTCGCATTGAGGCTGGAGGAATTTTTCCACTACTCTCACCACCCAACTTCAGAGCAGCACAATCTTCACATCGAAGATCATAGGCGGCTTGCACTTGCCACTTTGGACGCCCAGCATCACGCAAGATTCTAGCCAGGTTATAGTTATTGGGGTGCCCAGCAGCGCGATGATATTTCAGCAATTGCACATTCCATCGTGATCGTTCTTGTTCACTAGGTTCTTCGCCTTCCACAGGCATGAATTCAAAAAGACCCAAGGAGTGAAGAGCATCTTCTGGAGGATCATCTAGAGGTACAGGGGCATGTAAATAATGAAGCCATTTTTCGGGATACAGCTCGGATCTCCACAACTGTGCAACAGATTTGCAAAGGTTCCATGGATAATAAGCCGATCTTGAAGTCTCTACCCCTTGTACTCTATCATGATCATGACATCCAGTGCATGTTTTCGATTTATACGTGGAATAAAAACGTTGTGATGTTGTACCTATAGACCAGGATTTACGTAGAAAAACTTCCCTTGAGCAGACTTGAGACCATATCTACAACCATCTACTCTGCCATAGTTCCAATCCCTGCCCAAACGTTGAAGACCACGCACCAACCGAAGAAATTCTGCATCCTCCCAACCATAACAACGTGTTGGCCACTCCCAAAATAATTCCACATTGTCATCTTGTTCCAAAACTTCCAGTAAAAAGGGAATCAATAATCGAAACATGGCTCGTTCACGTCTTCGATGTTGGGCTAGGCGTGATTTCTCCTCTTCAGTGCGATAGTTCAAAGAAGTGAATGGACACCAATAGGTACATCTTGTTGAAACCCACAAACGTTTTGGCTTTTCTTTTTGATACTTCTCTCGCAGCATGTCATAGGTATCCTTCCGATACAAATCGAAACCTTGTTGCAAATTGATCCTAGACATTCTCAAACCTTCGGAACGGCAAGCTGAAGTGAGCCAGCTTTCTGGAGCGCAAAAGAACTCCCAGCCATCAACATGTTCACCATGGAGAAAATCTCTGAGCTGGGTCTGTGCTGTCAAAGTCAACATTGTAAGAAGGGTCATCGCAGCTTTCAGAATCTTCCAGGGCAAAGCAAATTGAGATTCCTTGAAGCTACCAGAGTGGGCCTTCTTGGAGTCGTTGTGCAAACGTTGTGGCACTGTCTTGCCATCTGTACTTGATTGTTCAATCAAACTTGCATGGAACTTTTTCAAATTCTTTTTCTTTTTGTTTTTGAGATTTTTCTGTTTGTTGGACTTGTCCTCGGACTGCATAGAGTTGAAACACATCATGCACTCGATCTCAACTGCTGCGGCCTGCATATCTTCAAAGGAAGGCGCTGCAGTGAAAACATCATTGTCATGCATGGACTCAGTCTCTAACTCCACATCAAAAGTGACACCCTTGACATTCTCAGGAGCGTCCAAGGTGAAGTTGAGATAGTCCTCAACATCGCCATTGGCCATCATGGCATGGTTCCCCTCTGAGGGGTCACAAACTCGGCATCCGGATCGTCGATCTGAGCTGCTTCCTTGTTCTTGCGCTCTTCCACCACTGACAGGAGCTTGGCTTTCTCCTCTTCGGTGAGGTAGCCCATGAGCTCGGTCTCCTCCTTCTTGACCAGCATGTCCTTGGTGGATGAGGCACTTGGATCCATCTTCAAGGTTTTCTGGTAGCGATGTTCGAGGGCCATCGCCTGCTCTTCCAGATGCATCAGCTGATATTTGAGACCGGAGATCTTTTGACCCGTCTCCACCAATTCCAGCAGCAGTTCGAAGAGAGCACGATTGGGCAATTTGCCCTGAGGACGAAGATCCATCTCCAGCTGGTTCATCACATTGGTCACCAGCTTCATGTCGAGCTTCTGCACATTCTTGCCCAGGCTGCTCACTCGGGGAACATATGAAGTCCGAAGCCCGCAAATTCCGCAGTGCTTCCACAGGCCGTGGTTGTTGGATCCGGTCTCGAAGCTCCCGTGCTTGTTGAAACAAGGCCAGCACTTTGGTGAGCATCGGGGATCTTCCGGATCTGGTCCCCGTTCGCGAGGGTGATCCAAGGGCGCAGCCGCCTTGGACTTGGTCGCCATGAGTCACAGACGAGGTGATGTCAGAACCTTGAGGGTCTTGAGGACCAGGTGCTGCTGAGAATGGCGCAGCTTGTTGAATGGCCAAACGACGGTGCACAAATGAGTCAAAAAGAGTTCTCCTACTGTCATCATCTTTGATACCATGGTTTCCAGAAAAAACTGCAAAAGACCCATGTTGTTGGTGCATCGCTAGTTCAAACCAAGGCCACTCGGAATCCCCAGGCACCTCGGCAAAAGACTCTGCTGTGAGCTGCTGCAACATCGCAGCCTCAGAGTCAGCCGTGTTGCCAAACATGTAGTTGACAATGTTCACCATGAAGTGACCCTTGAAGTTCTGTTCCATCTTGTAGGGTACCGGTTGAGGATCGTTACCATGAACTGCATGACCATCACAAAAATCTAAGATCAAACCAGTTTTGCGTAAATGATCCATGCCAACCAGAATAGGGACCAACATATCCTCAGTATACCATGACTCATAAAATTCAGGGGGGTTCTCCAAGACGTACATCTCAAAACTGCGATATGGTGTAGTTGATGATGTGACCACAGCATGATATAGTGCTTGACCCCATTTCCCAGACCCATAGCGAAAGAATGGTCGCCGCTCATAGTTTAGCTCAACCAATAGTGAAGCATCAAAGGCACGCAAATGGGAAATGAGCTTCTTTGCTGAAGCTTCAGGACCAGCAGAAGCAGTGGCACCGCAATCCAACATTCCATATCCCAGTGGAACAACCGTTCGAGGACCAGTTGAAGGGTTTTGAATCGTCTCCATCATTTCCATAGGGTAATAGTCCATATTGAAGTCCATGCCGTACATGTTTACTGAAGGCTTTGACTTACCCTTTTGTTTCCCTTTACCTTTTGACATTGCAAAACCATCATACGGCCAAGAACCATATGCCACATTGGCCATACCATCTTTGAACTTCCCTTTGAACCCTTTTCCCCCTTTTGTCCTGTTGGTCAAAAAGGCGTCGAGTTCAGCCTGAGACAGATGCTTGCCAGAGCCCTTGCGCAAGGACGGATGACCTCTGTCAGGACAATCTTTCTGGAGATGGGGTCCGCCACCAATGAAACATCCACTACCCTTACCAGATGATGAGCTACCAGATTTGCCAAAACCACGGTCACGGCGCAGATTGGCTGTGGCTTGCTGCGCTTGCGACCATGTTCGTCGGGCCTCCATCGCAAGGACTTCGGCTGCACGCTCAGCTTCAAGAGCATCTTTCATGGCATCATCCGGTTCTTCATCCAAGGCAGGAGACTCATCAGCATGGTGAGCCTGAGCTTCCCAATCATCCCAATGTCCAGAATTCCAGTCATCAGAGGGCCAATCGCCTTGCCAAGCTTGATAATTGTCATAGTTCCAGTCATCATCATAGGAACCCTCAGTCCAAAAATGTTGATGATGAGATGGAAAGGCCGTAGACGTCCACTTACCTGCACCCATCTGTTCATCCCATAAAGTTTGCAAAGCATCAGACACACTCAAATAGTCCAGTTTGTTGTTGGTTGTAGCTAAGACATCACGCCATTCATCAGAAGATAACGAAGCAGCTACCAACAACCGCCATCCCCTCAAAACATCGAGAATGAAGGTATCCATAGGACTCAATGGTTCCGGCTTGACAGACTTCTTTGGTGAAATAGATGCAGTATGATGGACACTCCTGGCAGGGGACGGATCGGGATCAGCTGGAGCACTGCGACGCCCAGGATCAGATTTCGTCTCAGATTGCGGCACTTGCTCATACTCAACCGCATCAGGACGATGGTCAGCGGCTTCGCCATCCGGCTCAGAACCACGATCCGACCAGCGCTGCCATCCACGCCAATCATCGCGACGTTGCCAATGTCGCCAATTGTCATCCTCATCCAAGGAGCCAGTCAACTCCGGCAGGTCAAAGATACGCTCTGCAGGGTCTATGCCATCACGCTCATCCTTGAGCTGCAGAAGGGCTTCTTGGAATTCTTCGAAGCCAAGGGTTTCCCTTACCAAGAATTGACCAATGGTTTCATTGGGGCGCTTTCTGAATCCAAAATACTCATTCATGATTGCAGCAGCATTAGGAAGGGACCTTCTGACCAGTGGAGAGGACGCTAATCTCCTCAGTAAAAGTGTCACACCTTGCTCGCCATCAAATTCCCTTTGGGACCATGACATCGCTAACAGTCGTGCACTTCCAGTCAAACGGCTAATCAGTTTGCTAGCTGTATAGCGTCTTTGCGAGGCTTTCGTCGAACCAACAAACCAACCCACTTCCTTACAGTATCTCCTCCATGTTCTATTGGAACCATCCCAGGAAGGAATCGCAGCATCACTTTTCGCTTGTTGCGAAGACATGACCACCACGGAGCTACGCAGGGAGCAAACGGCTCTGGAGCGAACACCGTCGCTCCGCTACCAATGCAGGTAGCCGGCAGCGACTGCAATCCAAAAAGATAGGTTCCAAAATTGTAGATGCGACCAAAGATTAATGTTATGAATGATTCCCCTTGAGGGAGCAAAACACCAGTTCCAGCCTCCTTCTCAACCAAGTTCCCAAGCCGACTCTTCGGCTAAGCGCACAGGTGACTCTTCACCTTTTTCACATGGCCGCACCACGTAACGGTTCAAGGGGCCCCTGGTTTTGGGCCACACGCCAGGCAAAAGCATGCATCAAGAGTTCACCTGAGAGACAAGGGCATTGGATTGAATTAAAGAATCACTGGATGAAATCTGATGACTTGCAGATACCCCAATTTTGACCCACAGGCGTGTAAGCTCTAAGACTCTAAGCTCTTAAAGCAGGCCAGACACTTTGATGTGTCGCGACAGTGACGTACTAGTAGTACGTCGCGTTTGAAGAACCAAACCGCGCAGCGAAGTGAGACCAACAAGGATGCCTTCAGGACCACCGAAATTCGGTTCACTGGTACCTTCGTGGTTTCAAACATGTATGATCCCGGTCGCCACTGACCAACATTTTTTTCCACGGGGGGTGGCTCAACCACCAACCAGCTCACTTTGAATCACCAAACTCTTCCGGATTTCGGGACCGTTTGGGCCTTTCCAAAACCGCTTGGCCTAAGGGGTTTATGGAGCCGCCGGACCTGAAGTTCAAGCCTTGAGGTGGGTGGGACCCCAATTGCACATCCCCATCCCAAATTCTGGTCATGTTTTAGAAATGAAAGCACTTTTGATTTGTTGGTATTCTGGTTTTGTTTTAGACACTCCATTTGAGTTGGAAATTATGTGACATTATGACTTGACATGATGATGGGATAAGGTCATGATTCACAGTGGCATTTGTATGATGATACATCAAAGCAAGATCTTGCACACACACACAAAATATGCAATCCGTATTGCGCGTATGCGTATGCATTTAGCTGTGCTTGCTACGTGGCCTTACAATGGTCTCACAAATTGCTGTGGTGGTTTTGACGTTTCTTTCCAGAGCTTTTGCATACCAAACATGTTTTTTTTCCTGTTTGGATACAACCAGCACTTGATGCTCGCGGCAGGGTTCAGACCGATGGTAGACGTGTGGTCACAGCTCATTGCGATAGTGGCTTGGAATGCATCAATTGCTGCTGAGATCTGCTGAGCTACATTCGACACGTTCGACACATTGTGGCAATGGACAATTTCAGGATTTACATTTCTTGGATGGTCATTGGATGGCCATTCGCCAGAAACCAAACTGGGTTTTGCATGGAACGCACAAAGATGACAAGACTAGATGCTGGCTGCTGGTTGAGGGGTGCACAAGCGGATTCACGAAGGAAGTTGAGACTAGGCACCACCTTTTAGGATTTTGTTTAATGCAGGGGCCCCAGACCAAAACAGGTCACTGCCATGCCATTACCTGGGGTCATCTGGGGTCACATTATCAGTTGCATGGGGAAAACAAGTCCATGAGGGGTTCATCCCAGATCGAAGCCATGAACATCAGGTTCTGGAGAGGACATATACAGAAGGTTTGACAAATCAGCAGCATAAGCAGAAGTTATAAGATGTGCCCATTCTTTTCGTGTTGCTAATGCTCATCTGAAACCGTGGTGAAATGACCAACACTCATGGCCGATTCGCTTCCACAGGTACTTACAAGCAAAGAACTGCTTCGTAACACAACTATTCCATACTATATAAACTATTTTTTCTTAACCGAGACACTCCAGTTTTAGACCTTATCAAACTATAAGATGTACCTTAATTGAGATGCATATCAATCATAATATAAGTATATATATATAATTATATAGTTATAGTAGGTTATAGTTTCCAAGTTACCCAACAACCCAACATCCTCAAGCCTCCATCAATCCCAAGCGAGCAGCTGCAGGTTTCATCTTCTGGGACTTGGCCTCAGCGCTTCCCACGCGGATCCTGCGCGAGGCCACGACCCCAAGGAAGGCCGCAGCGGCAGTGACGTGCCTGGCGTTCTCCGGGGATGGCCATATGTTGGCTGCTGGAAGCTGGGATGGAGGGATGGGATGGTGGGATGGCCACGTTGGGAGTAAAAAGGGATCCCAAGATGTCAAGTTTGATATATCCCCAAGATTTGTTGCTTTTTTTTGGCATATCATGGTATATCCCATTATATTCCGATGTTTGTTGGTTATATCCACACCTTAATAACTCATGGTTGCTGATTGGATCCCACCATCCACTGCTGGTTGTTCCAGGTGGATGAAGGGGAGGTGGAACCAAGGTACCCGGCACGTTTCTGGACAACTAAGTTTTTTTTTCTGCAAAATTTACCAGGAAACCTAATCTACATAGACCATAAGAGTTTCCTTCATGGTTGGCTGCAAAATAACCATTTAATAAATCATGTGGAATAGAGGCACAGTCCGCAAAACCAACTCCATGATGATCGTTAAACCCCGATTGTATTTCTGGGGTGCTATTAAGCCTTCAGAAAAACATCATTGGTTGGTGGATTTGTTACGTCATAGTGGTTGGCCAACAGGTATCCTCGTCATTGTTGAAGATCAACATATTCATGTTTAGCTCCACTAAACCATGTTAAATTTGGCAGTCATGGATTGTCCACTAAACCATGTTAAATCTGGTAAGATGTTGGTTTCCAGTTACCAAGTTCATAGGTTTTTTTTTCAGATTGAACTGATCACCCCTAAATCAGGGACATTATACATCCCCCATTTGGCAGCAAATGGTCAACAAGCCTGGTCAACAAGCCTGGTCAACAAGCCTCCAAGAACTCAGTCATGTCCCTTTGAATTGGATTCTAACCCAACAGTTGCAGGAACGAGCTACTGAGTGAGATGATCCTGCAAGTTCCAGTTTATAGGACCTATAATTTTATAGGTGGATATGTATAGATATGTAACATCATGGAGATTATATCGCTGGTTCTGTCACCATGGTGATACTGTAGATACCCGTGAAAATTAAACCCAATTGCATCCCAGAGTGACAACAACACTTTATCACTATTTTAGTATTGGATTTGATATGCCTTTTCCAAAATCGGCCATTCTTTTGGTGGTTGAATAGCAACCAACCACCTACAGCTGTTCATCCTCAGTTACCTAAGCCCTGAATCCCTGAAGCCCTGAAGCCTAGGCCACGCCGATGGCAGGTTGACTCTGCTGGACCTCCGCGCGCTGCGCACGGGCGAGAAAGGCGCCTCCTCGACCCATGCGGCGCACCGAGGTGCAGTGCAGGCGCTGTGCTGGAGCAAGGCGAAGACCAAGCAAAACAACGAGACTTGGCGGTCCAGAGATGTTGGGTAGAAAAAACAATCCATGGATAGTTTTTTTTTGCAAATCGGTAGGCATGGATTTGTAAATGGAAATGGATAGAAACCATTAGAAACCCACATTGGGGCTGAAACTCATGAATCACTGACATATTGGCTGGGTTTCAGCCACGGTTTGGATTTGAAACGAAGTTGCAGAACGGGAAGTGCTGGCACCTGCATTTGGGCCAAACTGGACCCCAGAAGAGCGGTTGACAATCCAAGTTAATCATGTTTCTTGGGGATCTTAAGGTTTAATTCTGCGATCTTTATAAATGCTTATTAGTGTAAGGATGTAGAAGTATAAGGCAGATTAGGGACTTCCGGAGTTTGTATTGCCAATGTTTTCCATGTGTCATGGCCAAGGATGTGCTCTTCTCATCCTCCGGATCTCACTTGCTGATGCGGGAACTCTCTGGGTTTCACGGCTGCAAAGGCCCGGCTCCGGATTGGGTCAAGGCAGATGATCCACGAGGGTATGGGTGATCAATGGCACAGCCAATTTCACAAACCATCCCGAAATGATTTGTCGTTTTATCATTGGAGCATACTAATTATCATAAACCCATGAACTCGGAGATTTTGAGGTGATTTCTTACAGTAGACAGTTCCATCCATTTTGAATGGCCGATAGCTTTCACTGTTCAGGTCCGGAGTGGTGATTTCTTCGGGTGAGCCATGTGGCTTTCGTGGTTATTCAGGTAGGTTATAATATACCCATGGAACGGGGCCCGACCATACACTTGCACCAGAATTGGATGATGGTAAAATTCACAAGAACCCTTTAAAAATGATAGTGATAATTAAGTGATAAACAATAACCATGGTTTCCTGTATATAGTTTTTGCCTTAAAACCATCCACGGGTCCACTTGAAGTTTGTGGCTACACGTACTCAAGAAGTGATGCATTCCTTCTATTCAGAAATCTGGAAGGAATCAAGAACCGCAGCCATGGAATGTACTAGAAACAATCAAGCATCCCAACATATTCCAAACTGTGCGCAGTGATTTCATTTCAATACATCCATCCTTACCTGCGATGATGATCCCCCAGTGGCTCTCCTATTTTTTCCATGTTTTTCACCACCACATAGTCATCCACGCAGGAATAGGTTCACAAGTTTCCCCATCGGGGACCCAGGTTTCGCCAAGTTCAGAAAACCGATGTCAAGCTCGCGATGGACCACGTGCTTTGCTGCCACGCGACCGTCGGGCATACCTTGGTCCTAGGGACATCACTCTGAGGATTATCCTGAGAATTTGAACTTGAAAAACTACAACGATGGGCCCCCTACAAAACATACTGGGGTCTGAACCTTTTTTTTGACTTGTGGAAAAACCTAATGATGTGGCGTATAAAATTGTTTAAATATACTGGGGGCCATTCACTGCAGGGTGAACAATTCTGGGCAGAAATCAGGTGCGATTCCTGGGATGATCCAAAGTGAATCATGGAAAATTTTGGGCCAAAGAAGCCTTCAAAGCCTGGGTCTCCGTGTGAGCAGTGGCAAAAATGCGTTCGCAGGATATGGCCGGCCCGTGTGCAGCCGGAAACAAAGATCCGGTCATCAAAGGTGGTGAGCTGGACCCCGAACGAAACGGAGGTTAGCTTGGAAAATCATCGAACTATTTCTGGAGGGTTTTCCATTGCTAAAGCCGTACCCCAAAGGATCAGCAGCTCAGGGTCTGATCGATTGCAGGAGGATCTTCAAACTGCTGAACGACCCTTCGTCGGGCTGTGCTGCGCAGTACCGGACCCAGATTGCAATCACCTGCTGGTGGGTTGTTGACTTGAAACCAGCCATGTGAAGTTCCGTGTTTTTATCTGAGCCGAGCCCGCTAGAGATTTTCACCAGTCCTTGGGTGCCACTTCTTAGCCATGGGACACCGATTCAAGACGAAAATTCAGCAACGTCTGCATGTTCTGAAGAGTCAAACTCAAACATCCTGGAACAAATTTCAACTAACATCAACCAACCGTAACTAATATATATATATATATATATGTATACATAGGCTTGTCCTGGCTTCTGGAACTGCGGCAGCAGTTACGCACACGCGGGGTGGGGGTGGGGTGGGGTGGGGTGGGATGTTTTAACGTTCATGTGAACTTGCGGCAGCAGTTGATGCTACGCACAGCGGGGTGGGGTGGGGTGGGTGGGATGTTAACGTTCATGTGAACTTGCGGCAGCAGTTGATGCTACGCACATGCGGGGTGGGGTGGGGGGTGGGGTGGGATGTTAACGTTCATGTGAACTTGCGGCAGGATGTTAACGTTCATGTGAACGGGACAAGTTTTACCAACCTAATTCAGGTTTGCGCGGTTCCAGAAGCGGGGACGAGGATGATGATGATGATGATGATGATGCTGATGATTATGATGATGATGATGATGTGATGCTGCTGATGATGATGATGATGCTGATGATGATGATGATGTGATGCTGCTGATGATGATGATGATGCTGATGATGTGATGATGATGATGATGATGACGATGATGCTGATGATGATGTTGATGATGATGAGGATGATGATGATGAAAATGACCCAAATGAAACTTGTAAATTCCGGGACGAAATTTCGTCCCGGAATGGACAAGTTTTCCCAACCTAATTCAGGTGGTCCGCAGTTCCAGAAGCGGGGACGAGGCTATATATACATATATATATATACGTATATATATATACCATACATAAATAAATAAATTGATAAATGAATGAATACATCCATAAAAAATGGGTAATCAAATGAATGAATAGATACATATAATCTGGGTAAATTATAACGACCTCACTGCGACCGCACTGGAAATCATGGTTAGTAAGGGAAATCATCCCCAAATGGCTTTAATTCAGGTTAGTGAAATATTATAATTTACCCAGATATAATAGACACCATATATTATATACCAACTCAAACAGATATAAATATAAATATAAATACATATAAATACAAATATAAATATAAATGAATATATATATATATATATATATATATATGTATATATATATATATATATATACATGAATGGTGTTTTTGATCCAGAAAAAACTCGATGAGCCCCAAAAAAACATCGCCCAGGTGGGCCTCATATTTGTTGACCTCTGTGATCCTCCTAACTGCCGTGGGACTGCTCAGGGATCCCGGCGAAGACGCCTGGGATGATTTGTCGATGTGGGATACCAAGGGCTACCAATGGCTACCATATTTTCAGACCCTGGATGTCAGGGAATTGCCAATTTTTTTTTTTTGAGATCTCGGTTTTTGGAGGCCCATACTTTGAAGATCTTTGAAGTTTGGAAGATGATCGCACCCTGGCTCACCCCTTTTCCGGCGCCCACATGGGTTCAAAAGCCGCAAGTTTCCAGGGAATATTTGAGGAATAAACACCGTTCACTACCAATCTACCAATCTACCAGCAACATGTTGGTGACTGTGGACAGTTCACCTCGGTCGCCAGATCACGATGCTCTTGGAATCGATGCCAGAATTCAGCACGACACCAGATGCATGTCGCTCGCCGTGGGAACGGCGCCCAGGTCTTTCCGAGTGATGGGCAAATAGGTACCCTCCAAAATCAACCATGGCTGGAAAATCTACGAAATGTAGGTTTTCATGGGAGAATCATCGAACTAAATCTATGGGGAATTTTCCATTGCCATGTTTGATTACCAGAGGGACCCAGGTTGTGTATGAGCATGAAACATGAGGAATGATGAGTTAGAAATTGGAGGTTGTTCCACGAACACAGACCATGGACAGTTGACGGCTGGGCCGCAGGAGGTTCACCATGTAAGAATCATATAGCCATCCCAAGAAAAACTGATCATAAGATATAATGATAAGTATAAATCACCATCAAGACAATAGGCGAATACGAGTTCTATCTTTGTGTTGGGGGGACTTACTTTAAGCTATCCTTTGACCATAGTTTATGTGGGCTGCATCCCAACTTTTGTTCAGAAAGATAACCCGAACTGCAGTTCTACTTTCATTCACAAATCCCATTAACTAGTGTGATATATGTACCATAGACCCAACAGTCATGTTAGTTATCTAACAACTATGTTCATTATTTATTTAAATTTACTTAAACTCCCATAGTTATACCATGTTATACCCACTAATCTATCATTATCACCCCAGCTATCGCACAATTCTTTCCCATAGTAATCCTCCAGTAAAAACCCTCAACTGCACAGCGGTTTCCAGGTCAATTGGTCCTCACCATTGAGAACTGCCGTCCGAGACCCTCCGACGCGTTCCTCGTCATGACATGGACTCAACTTCTGGATTTGATTATGGGGATATGATATATATATATAGGATGCACCAAAAAGATAGAGTTTGCTATTTCCAGGATGGCACCAAACATGTTGTTTTCTCCATATTTCCAGGCTTCAAACTTTTCAGCATCTTTTTCGGGAGTTGCTGTAACCATCTACTATAGGGTTTTAGCATCAACATCTATGTATAAAACCAACATGAATGGTGATATGTCATGGGAATTGACGGGATATATAATCAACAACAATATATTTTACAGACATGTTGGTCATTGTTTTATCATTACGAGGGGGACAGAATGGGGATAAAGTTGCAATGATATTATTATCTAATGCGGATATAAGCATCATTGATAGGCTTTGAACGTGCTTTAACATGTTTTAAGCATCAAAAAATAGGACAGTAGTGATACATTTAACATTAAGGTTGGGGAAAAAACACCAGTTGATGAGATGCCCCCTGCGGGGGGTTTAACCCTAAGTATGGGGATTTCCATAAACGGGGATACCCTAAAATCGATGGCTAATAATGGAACATCCTACATATATATATATACACATAATTTTATATGTATAGGTATCAAACTTTCGGGATATGCTTTTGATATATGATGGTGGGTCGATGATGGGAAGCCGGTTACACTACATAGTATATTGATATGTCTTGGATTGTCACAATCGGAGAGCTGGGAATCCACTAAGCAGCCATCATAAGGGATTTTTCCAGAGCTTTTCGACACTGCGCAATAGGGGTGCCCAATTTTGGAGGAGAAATCCAGCATGGGTGGAATCATGATTTCAGCCTGCCTAAGCAAGAACGGATTGACATTTAGAATGTGTGTTTCATTTCAGACTGCATGACTTGCATTTGCTCTCAGAATACAATTGTTTGCTCCTGTGTGTGATTGAATCCTGTAGTGATTTGCATGTCCCTGCAGGTTCCGGTGCACATTTTCTCATTGGCTACATTGCCACACAGTGCTAGATGACTGTTTCAGATTTCAAGGACAGTGTCCTGCAGTGAGCCTCACGTGTGGTGTCCCCTGAGGTTTTATTACATCGAGTTTGCAGCTTGGTTCAAGCGTACGTTGACTGAAATACTTGAGACCCACAAACGTATTGAAGGTTGCGGCCCACAAGTGGTTCTGCCCAAAAGTCATTGACCTTGTTGGAGGTCGGTCTCATGGAGTGATTTCCATCCCTATGCCTGGGTCAACATCGAAATTGACACCCTCTGAGGGGCGTATACAGGTGGCCATGAACATACGGAATACCAGCCCTGTCTTTCTAGGGGACATCAAAATCCTGAAACCACTGAATCTGTTTCTTGGGTGTAGGGTCCAAGTAGGGCCTAGGGTCCAAGCATTTTTGATCCATTGCCAGTGTTCAACCAACCTCGGGAAAGCTATGTGCCAGGGTGATGGTATGACCAGGGGCCCACTATATCGACGTGACATGCTGTGATGTGTTCAAAGTTGTTGGTCAAACTGGTCATTTCTTCAAAAAAATCAGGCTGCCCATAGTAACATCATGAAACTCCAACACACACACACACATATATATATATATATATATGTATCATACATAAACATTATTATACATCTTTATATATCGTTACAGATCATTACATATCATTATGTATCACTATATGTCATCGTATATCGTTATATATCGTTATACATCATTCATTATATTATAATATATCGTAACATCTAGCTATCTATCTATCTATCTATCTAGCAAGTTATCTTTCTATCAAACTGTCTATCTAAATGTGAACCTATCTATCTATCGATCTATCTATCCATCCATCTATCCATCCATCTATCTATCCATCTATCTATCGATGTATCTATCCATCCATCCATCCATCCATCTATCTATGTATCCATCTAGCTATCTATCCATCCATCTATCTATATACAAAGAACTATCGATCTATCGATCTATCGATCGATCTATCTATCTATCTATCCATCCATCCATCCATCTATCCATCTGTTAATCTACCGATCTATCAATCTATCGATCTATCTATCCATCAGTCTATCTATCCACCCATCCATCTATCTATTCATCCATCTATCTATCCATCTATCTATCTATCGATCTATCTATCCATCAATCCATCCATCCATCCATCCATCCATCTATATATGTATCCATCCATTTATCTCTGTATCCGTCCATCTATGATCTATCCATCCATCTATCTATCCATCTATCTATCGATCTATCTATCTATCTATCTATCTATCTACCATCTATCCATCTATCCGTCCATCTTTCTATCTAATCTAATCTAATCTAGTCTAGTCTAGTCTAATCTAATCTAATCTAATCTATCCTATCTATCCTATCTATCCTATCTATCCTATCCATCCTATCCATCCTATCCTATCCTATCCTATCCGATCCGATCCGATCCGATCCAATCAATCGATCGATCGATCGATCTATCTAGCTAGTCTATCTAGTCTATCTAGTCTATCTAGTCTATCTAGTCTATCTAGTCTATCTAGTCTATCTAGTCTATCTAGTCTATCTAGTCTATCTAGTCTATATAGTCTATCTAGTCTATCTAATCTATCTAATCTATCTAATCTATCTAATCTATCTAATCTATCTAATCTATCTAATCTATCTAATCTATCGATCTATCTAATCTATCTAATCTATCTAATCTATCTAATCTATCTAATCTATCTAATCTATCTAATCTATCTAATCTATCTAATCTATCAAATCTATCAAATCTATCTAATCTATCTAATCTCTCTAATCTATCTAATCTATCTAATCTATCTAACCTATCTAACCTATCTAATCTATCTAATCTATCTAATCTATCTAATCTATCTAATCTATCGATCTATCGATCTATCGATCTATCGATCTATCGATCTATCGATCTATCTACCTATCTACCTATCTATCTATCTATCGATCTATCGATCTATCGATCTATCGATCTATCGATCTATCGATCTATCGATCTATCGATCTATCGATCTATCGATCTATCGATCTATCGATCTATCGATCTATCGATCTATCTGCCTATCTGCCTATCTATCGATCTATCGATCTATCGATCTATCGATCTATCGATCTATCGATCTATCGATCTATCGATCTATCGATCTATCTACCTATCTACCTATCTACCTATCTATCTATCTATCCATCGATCTATCTATCTATCTATCTATCTTTTCATGCATATACTATTTTCATTTAATATATAAATGCGGAGGTTTCCATCATCATCTTCACCATCGACTACGTGCTACGGGTGGCCACCGCCAGCAGTATGGAACCGCATGAGCTGGGGGTGCTGCACTTAGATGCCCCGGGCCCCGTGGGAGAGCCCTGGGGCCATGGGAAGGTGATTTTCAAGGCATAAAACTGAGGATAACCCAGCTATGACTGGGGATATCCAGGATATATCTATATATTATATATGTTTATCATATAATATATATATATATGATAATAATAATAGTATAAGCAAGTTATGATATGGTTTGCCCAAATACGTTTCCTACGATGCCCCCCCAAGTTACAATAACGACTCAGCGATTTCTAGATCCCGACTCGACTCTTGAGGGGGTATAAGATGTATAAGGATTTGGATTGGTTTTGTTGATCCTCCCTTTTTGTGACATGTTTTTGTTCTTTATTTCTGTGGAAAAAAAACATTTCTTGTTGGTGAAATCTCTATATTTGTTGGTGGAATGCTTCGTGAACCAGATCTGTGGATGGCAGGTGCAGTATGTGGGCGAAAAAGAAGTCCCTGGATGGAAAGCGACTCTCAGAAGCTTGGCTTTGTCTTAGAATATGGTACCCAACAAGTCCAGTGGTTTATCATCAAGAATTCCCAGCAATATGGTTATTTGGGGGCATAAACTTATAAACCCAACTTGGCTAGGTTTAGAAAGTGATAGTAAATCTGTATTGAGACATGCCAACAAGTAGAATAATGCCAGAGATGACGCCATCATTTGGACACAGATAGGTTTGAAACCAAGAAACATTGGAATCTACTGGGTATGCTCATGGCGTTGCAACTGACTATAACTGGGGGTAACTACGTGAGGCGTGAGGAGTTGAGTAGGATTCTGGGGTCCGAGCCCGAGCCCCATTCATTGTTTCTTCACCTGTCCAGCAAAGGATATATCACGCAGTGGCTGAACCTGGTAGACCTTTGTGCTATTGTTCCTGGGCAGACATGCTGCAGCTGGGGCTTGGGGGGGCTGGTTTGGAAGGACACTGGAGCCCAGGTTTGGGCAACGGGAAGCATGGGGGGTTCATGCGATTGTCGGCATATCCTAAACTTGGCATACCTGAAGTTCCTCAGTTCATGTTTGGAGTTTTGGGCCGATACTGGCGAAGGCGTCTCCAAATCCTTTGGCAAGGCAGAGCAGGTTATTGATATTCATTGATGTCTTTATTGGTGATATTCCAGTTTCCTTCGGGTCCCAAAGATGTGGGCGCACTGAATTAACACTTGTGAATGTACAGCCAGCCATTGATACTGTTCCAAGGGAATCAGGGATTCGAATTCCTCTGGTCTGCTTGGAAGGTACCCTTTTATTTGGAGATGGCGGGCTTGCAATTGGGAAGTTCTGCTGTCATTCGCACCTTGGCTCCAGGTCCAAGTCGTTGTGAAATGAAACAGTAGGTCTGAAAAAAAGTGGACCCCGAACATCAGTTGATGGTCTTCAGTGGGAAGCATTCCGGTTGGCGTGTCTTGGTCTCACCTGGGTATCCTCTTGGTATGGGACATACTCAAACGCGCTCGCAGGCGTGCTCCGTTTGATTCGAATTTTCCGTCTACTCAAATCGCCGAAGATGCGAAATTGTGTGGACATGTCTCCTGGCAGGTGAAGGATGGTCATGTGGGGATGATCCCACTGGGAAGTATCGGTGTCAGGAAAGGGAAAGGGGGACTTGTTAGGTAACCACCTGAACTGAGAGTGCCCATAGTGCCCATTAGTGCCCATAGTGCCCATAGTGCCCAGAGTGCCCATAGTGCCCATAGTGCCCATAGTGCCCATAGTGCCCATAGTGCCCATAGTGCCCATAGTGCCTGTGCCCAGGATTGTGGATATCGTGAAGGATGCTTTACCTGGAAACTTGTCTGAGCTCGAGAGTACAGGTCATAATTTGACGGCCATTTTCAGCAGTACCCCGTCCCAAGTTTACCCCATATCCAGTTGAAGATGTGGTTTCCATACCTGGATAGCCCCACTTCATCTCAGCGTGTTTGACTAGTTGTATCCCCAGTTGTTGCTACAGTGTAGATGTGATATTCCGCTTCTTAGAGCGGAGTCCACAGTATCACCTGTTTCGACTGGTCATGTTTCTCGCTTTGCTGATTGTCTATGGTCATGGTTTAAGTCGCTGGAAATAGCAGAAGTTGGGCAGTTGTCATAATTTTTACAGTAGTTTGCTAGCTGGACTGGACTCTCATATTTCACCCTGTACTTACACACAATGCACATATACTATATACTACTGTAAAAACACGTAATTACAACTATATAATACTATATGAGCTACAGCCAAAAATTAGGTTAATGGAGAGTAGTATTCGAGACATCCTATTTTTTGGAAATTGAGCTGGGGCTTGGAAACCGATAATACATTCTTCAATAAACGATAACATTTACTTATATACCAAAACCTGAAAAGCGATAATGCACTGTTCAAAAATTGATGACTTGGAGCTATATACCAAATATTGACCGTGGCCCATACAATATATATATAATTATATGTATACATGATGTAGTTGTATATATGATTATATGATTATATGCTTATATGCTTGTATGGTACATAATATGCATACATACTCTCCAGAGATCAGTATGCTTTAGCCCACGATGAGCGCCCCACAGGAATCTTGTCGGTGTTCTCGCTGACCGTGCTGGTGTGTGTCCTCTTTGCGTAAGGGTCACAGAACGTGGATGTTGCGCCAGAAGATGGGTCATCAAAGCAGCATTCGTTTAAACACACATATATATATGGTTACACTATGTATGTATATGTATACATATCAATACATAATTGTGTATATATGTATGTATATATATATATATATACACATTATACACATAGGCTATGGTAGATCGTAGATATTGGCAGATTCAATCATCATGTTTCGCATATGGGCGTCCCAAAGTTGGGATACTGAAGTCAGCAGCACCTCACTGGCTTGAAACAGTCACATCCTCATTTTGGTTTAGATGTCACCAAATTCTTGAAGCTTCTTTCTGAAACTCATGACCAAAGCATTGGGATATGACATCTAAACATTAAAGTGAGTAAAGTGGGTAAAACAATAATAACCATCCCCCAAATCACCATAGGTGGTATAATCCATTCCCAAATGGGTGGTTTATGGCATTGTTTTACCCACATTATATCTCAATCCCAATTCTTAGGTAACCGTCATATCCTCCTTTACCGAGCTGCCATGGGCACCACAGGTCCTGCATCTACTTCGCTGAAGGAACGCATTACTCAGTGGAGCATTTTCGGGACACGCCTGGGGGTCCCAGGTGTCCAGGTGCTATGGAAAGGTTGGGAAAGGTGATGACCCAGACCGCCCTGAATGGTGTATAATTTCAATATAAGATATATGATATACTTTGGATTTCCAGGATGATTAGAAACTAATCATCATACATTGTATACATAATAATACATAATAATATATATATATATACATTTAGAGAGACGGAGAGAGAGTAGTGCAGGATGAGAGCTCCAAATCTTGGGAGCGTAGCCACTGCTGTGAGGCATCCTTATGGTGCATACATCAGGCAGGGCAGCACCGTTTTGGCGCTTTTCGCGGTGAAACCTGCAGTAGATGGCAGTACAACCAGCAGACGTTGGGGTATGACACAATATACGACCATATATATATATATCGATATATATATATAAATATGAATAAAACATGAAACGGCACCATGAAAGATAATATAGCCAATGAATGAACACTGGTTCGTGGTTTCAAAGATCGGTGATTTTTCGTTTGTATTGTTTTCCCGACAAGTTGAAAATACCATTCGCACATTCAGAGGGCTTCAATGCAACGATTCTGCCTTCATTGGATGAGCGAAATTCTGCCCATCCCTACTTTGGGTGCAGCTGTGGTTCTAAATGGTTATAATCATGGTGACAACTTCAGTAACTTGGGATACGAGGCTCCCTATAACTCTGGTGACTCTGGTGTTAATATGGGGGTTTCCAAAAATAGGGGTACCCTAAATTATCAATTTTAATGGGATTTTCCATTATAAACCATCCATTTGGGGATATCCACCATTTTAGAACCCCCCCATATAAACATCCCAGGTACTATATCAGATTGTGTTCCGCAGCTGTCGCAGGCCCACAAAGCTTGGCTATGAGATGGAATTGTCACCCTTCAGGCACCGTTGGAGTTGGAATACAGGGGCTGGCGGACTCACAACGGATCTTTTTCTATTTTTCTATATTTTTCTAAAAAAGCGATCTGGGAAATTTGGTGGAGCAAATATAAATATATATATATATATACACACACCATTATAATATAATATATATACACCATTATAATATAATATATATATATATACAATATTATAATATATAATATATAATATATAATATTGTATATATATAATATTGTATATATATAATATATAATATATAATATAATGTATAGTATGTAATATATAATATATAATATATACTATGATATATAATATGATGTAATGTAATATAGTATAAAGTAATATAATATAATATAGTATATATAATATATAGTATATGATATATAACATATAATAATATAATGTGATATAATATCATATAATTTCAAATATAATATAATATTATTTAATATAATATAATATAATACAATGTAATATAATATAATGTAATATAATATAATGTAATATAACATCATGTAAATTTGAGATAATATAATAATAATATAATACAAATGTATATAATAGAATATATATATATATATATCATTTAATATATATAATATACAATATAATATGATATAATATAACGTAATATTATGTATAATATAATATAATATAATACAATATAATATAATATAATGTAATATAATATAATGTAATATAACATCATGTAAATTTGAGACAATATAATAATAATATAATACACATGTATATAATAGAATATATATATATATCATTTAATATATATAATATACAATATAATATGATATAATATAACGTAATATTATGTATAATATAATATAATATAATATAATATAGCATGATATGATATAATTTGATATAATATAATATAACAAAATAGAATATAAGAGAATACAGCAACATATCATATAATATATATGATATAATGTAATATAATTATATAATAGAATATGATATAATATGATATAAATAAATATAGGATAATGTAATATAGTATCATATAATATAATCGAAGGAAGTTTAGAAGTCAAACTTCCGACAACATGGACAGATGAAAAATTACACGCGATTGTGGCGCGAAACAGATTTCAAAGTCAAAATGCACAAAACACCTCAGCTTCGGAGCACTTTTGGAAGTTGAGATGTCGAAAAAGTGCACGCCGTTGTGGTGTGAAGCACATTTCCAAGTCAAAATGCGCAAAGCACACCAGCTCCGGACCACTTTTGGATTTTGAGATGTCGAAAAAGTGTATGCCGTTGTGGCGCTCAAAATGTACAAAGCACCACATGCTCGGACCACTTTTTGAAGGTTCAGATGTGGTTTTGCGTGGCAGGCGCATGGGATTCTGCACCTTGCCAAAAGTGAGCAAAACGTGAGGGTTTTGTAGCATTTCCAAAAACGATGGCAGGCATGGGACATTTGAAGAGGATCTGCAAAGATGCATTTTCCGTGGCAGGTGCAGAGCTGTTAGGAGGTCCGGGCGCTGATTTCCTGAGAGGGGTTGCATTTTGGAGCATGAGATCTTCAGGTTTGCTAAGATGATTTTGCGTGACAGGCGCAGCACTTCGTATGACCTGGCTTCACTTTTTCGTGGCAGGCACAGTACTTTAGACAGGTGAACTGGAAAAAACGCAAAACGCATTGGTAGGAGGCCGTCAGCTCTGCACTCAACTTTCCATTTCTGAAGGGGGTCTCGCCGGGTTGCTTCGTTTTTGATGTTGTCAACTTTGAAAAATGAAGTCTCGCAGAGTTGCTTTGTTTTTGATGTTGCCATGTTCAGAACTTGAGGACGTCTCGCAGAATTGCTGCGTTTTTGATGTTGCCAAGGTCAAAAATTCAGAAAGTCACGCAGAATAGGTTCGTTTCCAAGCTTGCACGTAGACAGATAAATAGATAGAACAATTACAACTACCACTATGTTAAACTACAGCTACAAGTACAAATACAAATGCAGAGATACTACGCACTACACCAATTACGCTACAACTACAACTACAACATCTTCTACTACTACTCCTGCTCTTCCACTGCCACAATTACTACTACTACTACTACCACCACCACCACCGCCACCACAGCTACAAGTGCAATTACAACTGCGCTACATTACACAACACTGCGCTACAGTTATAAACATACAGTTACATTTTACTACAACTACAACAGCAACTACAATTGCAACTACATTGCGCTGCACTACGCTACACTACAACTGCAGCTGCAACTACATTATTCTACACTAATTACATTACACTACAACTACAACTACACTACTTTTACACTACAGTACAGTACACTACACTACACTAATTACACCACACCACAACTACAACTGCAGCAGCAAGTGCAACTACACTACACTAATTACACTACATTACAGCTACAACTCCACTACGCTACGCTACAACTGCAACTACAGCTGCATACACCACACTACACCACACTACATCCAGCGGTTGTGGTGAGGTGACCACTGCCTGCCATCCGTGCTTCACAGCAACCGACCTCTCCTATAGTTTCCAACTTTTGAAACTTCCGCCACCGCCTTGTGCGGTACTACTGGCACCAGTAGTACCGCACAAGGCAGTGGCGGAAGTTTCAATAATAGGAAACCTATAGGAGAGGTTGGTTGTTGTGAATCACGGGCGAATCCACTGATGGACCGAAAGGTGGTTGGAGTTGCGTTTTCTGGAGTGGTTGCAGTGGTTGCAGTGGTCACCTCACCACAACTGCTGGGTGTAGTGTGGTGTAGTGCAGTTGTAGTTGTAGCTGTAGTTGTAGTGTAGTGGAGTTGTAGTTTCAAGTGGTAGTTGTAATGTAGTGTAATTAGTGCAGCATAGTTGCAGTTGCAGTTGTAGTTGTGGTGTGGTGTAATTAGTGTAGTGTATTGTAGTGTACTGTAGTGTTGTGTACTGTAGCGTGGTATAGTATAGTGTTATCTATCTATCTATCTATCTATCTATCTCTCTATCTCTCTATCTATCTATCTATCTCTCTCTCTCTCTATCTATCTATCTATCTCTCTCTCTCTATCTCTCTCTCTCTATCTATCTATCTATCTGTCTATCAAATCCATCTATCTAATCTATCTATCTATCTACCTATCTATCTATGTATCTACCTATCTATCTATCTATCTGTCTATCTATCTATCTATCTCTCTCTCTCTCTCTGTGTCTGTCTATGTATCCGTCTATCTGCAAGCTTGAAAACGAAGCTATTCTGCGAGACTTCCTCAGTTTTTGAACTTGACGGCATCAAAAACGCAGCAATTCTGCGAGACGTCCTCAAGTTTTGAACATGGCAACATCAAAAACAAAGCAACTCTGCGAGACTTCATTTTTCAAAGTTGACAACATCAAAAACGAAGCAATTCTGCGAGACTTCCTTCAGAAATGGAAAGTTGAGTGCAGAGCTGACGGCCTCCTACCAATGCGTTTTGCGTTTTTTCCAGTTCACGTGTCTAAAGTACTGTGCCTGCCACGAAAAAGTGATACCGGGTCATACGGAGTGCTGCACCTGTCGCGCAAAATCATCTCAGCAAACCTGAAGATCTCATGCTCCAAAATGCAACCCCTCTCAGGAAATCAGCGCCCGGACCTCCTAACAGTTCTGCACCTGCCACGGAAAATGCATCTTTGCAGATCCTCTTCAAATGTCCCACGCCTGCCATCGTTTTTGGAAATGCTACAAAACCCTCACGTTTTGCTCACTTTTGACAAGGTGCACAATCCCATGCGCCTGCCACGCGAAACGACATCTGAACGTCCAAAAGTGGTCCGGAGCTGGTGTGTTTTCTACATTTTGACATCGAAATGTGCTTGGCGCCACAACGGCGTGCAGTTTTTCGACATCTCAACTTCCAAAAGTGCTCCAAATGTGAGGTTTTTTTAGCTTTTTCACTTGCAAATGTGCTTCGCGCCACAACGGCGTGCAATTTTTCATCTCTCATCTGGCCAGCTGGCTCCACACCCGCCGCTTTAGCGAGCCTACTTTTCGACCCTCCGGAGCCACAAATCATTGGAAAAACACATTGTTTCGCGACTTTCCTACCTTTTCGCGCACCTGGATCTTCTTTCTTCTGGGACTTTCTTTTTTGTGATCTTCTTTCTTCTTCTCTTCTCTTCTCTTCTCTTCTCTTCTCTTCTCTTACTCTGCCCATCTCTGCTTTTCATCTGTCCATATTGTCGGAAGTTTGACTTCTAAACTTCCTTCGATAATAAAATAAAATGAAATATAATATAATATGATATAATATAATATATTCAAGTCAACCAGGTGATGATGGGAACCCCCCAAGCACCCAAGATGGTAGACCTTGCCAGGTCGATCTTCCATTCCTTCTGGTGGTTTTTCACCACTGCAACCACTGTTGGATATGGTGCGCCAACTCTGAAGCCGGGGCGAACTGACACTTTTCAATGGGACATCCTCCCAAAAAAGGGGGTTGAATGGGAAAGAATGGGAAAACCATTGCCATGTTTGATTCCTGGGCAGGTTTTGATGCCTTGACACCTCTGGATAAAACAGCTGAGGACAAGCGAGATCCTGTGCACACATGGATACACAGGAACTGAGAGTACATAGATTTGCCCGAAGTATTCTATACCTTCTGTAGATACATGTGAAGGTTTACCAATATTGCTGTGTTAGGCAGGTTTTGAGCCTCCTAGCCCAGGGGAAACGTCTCATTTCGCGATCTTTTCATGGAGATACCGTTTGTTTTCAAATACCCCCTAATATTGAATACACCCGCAAGCGAAACCGTGATTTAGATTGATTTAGTGGATCTTCTGCTATTGGGCCCCCGAAAATTGGGGGACGTTTGACATATTTCGAAATTAGGGGGATGGGATTCCTCTAATCACAGGCTACCCCAGTTGGTCCAGATCTTCGAGTCGTGGTTTTTCTCAACAGCAACGGGTCTGAGGGGACGACTTCCCAACAACTACCCTGGGACGGGTCATCGCGGTGGTGACATTCTATGCCACCTGGTCGACGGGAAGTGGGAGGGAACACCTCGATGGAAACCATGGGCCTGGGGGATTTACCCCCCAGATGTTACCATTTTTCATAGGGAAAACATGGGAATTGAAACCAGTGGATGGAGGGGTTGATATCCTGAAGGGGGAATGGAATGCGCATTCTGCAGCCATGGAGACATCACAAGTCCATGATTATTGGGTTTGCTAATGTACAGTTCATTACAAATTACAAACTAGAAGTAAATGGCCACCAAATGCCACCAAATTAAAATGGAAACATAGGGTTTAGAAATATTTAGGATGGGTTTATATATATATATATATATAACCATCAAACAAGACGACTTAACATTTCATATCATTTCATGGGATTATCCGGGTGAATATCCCCCGAAACGGACGTGGGTCTATACATTTGTTCTGAAACTGAATGACAATATAAATAACATAAATATATGATTGTCCTTTTTTCCTTGATTCAAGCGAGGCTGCCAAGGGTCTTTGAAAAAGTCCAGTTCTCCCATCTCCCAGATCCGAGTTTTATTGTGGATTTTGCTAAGGCCGGCGTTGTGCTAGTTGCCATCATGCTGACGATTGTGGGTTCCGTGGCAGTTGATGGCAGGGTTAAACTACGGAGATCAAAATTCGGGATATCATTTTGGTACATTATGGTCGCTTGAAGATTATTTGGGGTTACATGCCCACTATCTTTTTATCATCATTCATGAGTTGGGAATCCCTAGTAACAGACCGCTATAGTTTATGGAATGATGGTTTTGAACACCACTCAAGGAAGATTTGTAACAAATTAGAGATCCGCCACCCCAGAATAGTGGTGTTGGATGGCGGTTTCCGCAGGTTGCCCAATTTTTGAGAGAAACTTCCACAAGCGCCAAATGTGGGTCATTCCGTTGATCCCACCCTAAAATCGCTTTGGTCGATTTGGTAGTAAAACCATGTCACATTGAACCCATCATTTGGCGGTCCATGTTAGGAGAAGATGTTTCCCGATCCTTTTGGGGAAATCCTCGTTTCATCCTTTTTTTGCAATCATCTCTCGTTTTCTTGGCTCCTTTTTGTTGATTAGATCCTGTAAGTTTTTGTTGCTCAAACCACCAGTTTTTGTTGGTTCAATCCCCATGCGTGACCATCTGAGGTGGTGCGTTCCAGAATCATTACCCGTTACTCGGCCACCTCAAAAATGGCAGTGAAATCGTGGCAGATGAACTACTTCGTCTACACACAAACAGACAAAAAAAGAATCTTGAGTGCCAATCTGGTGTCAACCATACATGATAGTTGGTATAGTGATATATTATGATAATCCTATTATATCATAAACCATATGACAGTTGACAGTACATGACTTAAATACCAATCAAGAGGAAGTTGTTGCGTTGTTGCTTCTGCCTCATTCCATCATCCAGCTTCCGAAGGAGGTGACACTGACTCCAAGCTTCATCCAGCTTGGGTTCTTTTTGGCCCCTGCCAATGTACCAATCCCATATGCTCCATGTATGGTATAGTTGCCTACATTTGGGTGATTTTTAGGGTAAATGTTGGTAACTATTCCATACATGGAGCATTTGGGAATGATATCAAATGGTAAACCAAAACAGATCACCCACAACCCCCTGAAATCAAGTTTGGCAAGTGGTGAGCAATGTAGCCAGCATCTTAGGGTGGTCAAGTATGTGGCGGTTGGTCATTCCAATTCTAACCTACTTGCTGATTATATAATGGAACCCCCCAACGCCAACTCCAACCATCTCCTGTAGTTCGCCCGCAGTTGTAGGTGAACTTAAACGCCAAGAACATATCTGGTATGTCATCATTTTTTGTTTATTTCATCTCCCTTTTTTCAAGATTCTACACCCATGATCGCAAGAATGTGGGGTGCGGCTGAATGGCTGAATATGTTTCCCCAGTGAAACAAATCGCGCGGTGTCCATCGAGTCAGCCTAGGAAGTTTAAGAGGTGGATGGAGAGTGCGGATGCTGGGAGCTAGGCGATCTGCGATGATGTGGCCACGGCATGGGGAACAAAAACCCATCGAGTGCTGGTCGGGGACATGGGGAAATCATGGGGATATGGGATATGCTGATATTTATAGTATAACTATAACATAGTATAACCAACAATGTGATATAATGTGATATTTGGGTGTGTCTCAACAGTGGGGATACCTCAAAATTCTTTTTCTGATGTGGACATGGATGATGAACAATGGGTTTGTGGGTTCCACATTTTGAGACCCCAAACAATGAGGAGTCACAAAGAATTCATTCCAGGTTCTGGTAGAAGAACATGTTCGGAGTTGTTTTTTGATTTTATTGTTCGGAACATGTGTGCATATATACTGTATATATATATATATACATAAAATGTATACACATGAAAGCATAGTATTGTATAACATGTATATAATAGTATATTATACATGTTTACGCCAGCGGACCGAAAACCGTGCTCATAAAAAGCAGGGTTTTGCTAGCGTGTGTTCGGAGGTCATGACAGGGTGGGGTAGGGAAGGCATATTAACGTTCCTTGTAACTTGTGCTTCTTCCGCGACATGTTGCTACGCTGCACAGATGTCTGGTAGTGTTGCATCTATGTATACATTGTCGAAATGGTCTGCAGTGCTTGAAGGTGGACACATGGGTTGCTAGTGCGTGTGTTCAGAGGTCATGAAGCGGTGGGGTGGTGGCGGGGGGGGCATGTTAACGTTCCTTGTACTTCTTCCGCTACATGTTGCTACGCTGCCCGAGAAACAAAAGTATTGCATGAGTGGGTTGCTCACAACCGCGGTGAGTTTGAAAAAACAGTCTGCTGTGGAATGGAGAAAATCAGTTGCCACACTGGAACAATCGATGCCGCATGGAGTGCTGTCACAGACTTCATCCCCAACTCATTGCGTTCAAAGAGCAAAGATCTTTTCCTCTATGTGAAGTGCTGGCTGTGGAGATATGTGAATCTGCACACCCATCTCCAGCAAAAAACAATTTCAACGCGGAAGCGCCTGCTCTGAAAACAAAGAAAGAAAAAGCCTGTCAACATGCTCCAATGAAATGAGTCCAAAACCTGCACGAAACGCAAAATTTGCCAAATTCTCGCGCGAGAATTTGGCACAAATCGGCTTGCAGAAATACCTGTTTCGCTATGGCAAAAATCCTTTTTTTTGAAAACGTTGTTTTTACGAGCACGGTTCCCGGTCCGCCGGGATGTTTACGATCCGTATTGTTTATATACAATCATGCATATATAAATATGCATATATATATATATATGTAATGTATGTATGAAATGTAATGTAATGTAATGTAATGTAATGCTTTGTAGTGCAATGTAATATAATGTTATGTATGCATGCATGCATGTATGCATGTATGTTTGGTAGTGTAATGTAATACAATGTAATACAATGTAATACAATGTAATACAATGTAATACAATGTAATACAATGTACTGTAACGTACTGTACTGTACTGTGCTGTATTGTACCGTGCTGTACTGTACTGTATTGGTATGTATCTATCTATCTACCTATCTATCTATCTATCTACCTACCTACCTATCCATCTATCCATCTATCTGTCTATCTATCTATCTCTCTATCTGTCTATCTATCTATCTATCTACCTATCTATATCTCTATCTATATCTCTATCTATATCTCTATCTTATCTATCTTATCTATCTTATCTATCTTATCTATCTTATCTATCTTATCTATCTCATCTATCTAATCTATCTATCTATCTATCTATGTATGTATGTATGCATGCATGCATGCATTCATGTATGTATCTATGTGTCTATGTATCTATGTATACACATGTATGTATGCACATGTAGGATATGTCTATGTACATGTAAAATTGAGCTATGCACGTACATACATACCGCCATGTTTATATTCAAGAAAACATGTTGCATGATAATCTCTGTGGGTGACTATGACTGACAGCCATATCGGATATATTCAGTCTGTTTGGCTGGCTGCATCGCATGTGTATATACATGCTTTTCGGCTAGATGCACATAAGCATACACATATAATATATATATATAATATGTATATGTATATGATATACGATGCGCACGATTTATGTAGACATGTACACACTACATATACAATATATATGTATATATAGTGCACCAGATGTATCCACACATATCTACATATTTATTGTAATGTAACCACACATACTTCATGCATTCTCCAGGCCTACGAGCGCTTCTGATTGGCGGCCCAACAAAATTTCATGGGACCCTGACGTGGTGAAATGTCCATTAGATTGTTTCTCAACATAGACTACCTGGTAAAATTGATTACTTCGGGGAGATACACTAAGAATAGGTGATCCATCAGCAATGAGTGATCTTGACTTTTTCAGCTTCTTGATCCATCCCCTAGATTTACTAAACTGAAGTCTCTGCATTTGCCACATAGCTGGACCTTGACATTGGGAAATCCCGGGCCGACAACCGGCGAAAAATCTGTCTGCGGCTCGCACCGCGGCGACGTCACCGAGCCCGAATGGGAGTTGTGACACTGAACCGCCTAGAACGTGGCCAGTGCAGAGAGCGCTGGGTCCGGAGCTTCTGGACGAACAAGGTTGTCTTCGCTTTTGGAGACTGAAGTGGCGACTCTTTCAGCAGAATTTGGGAGGTCCCTGGATGTACCCAACTCTGCCAACACCACTGGTCACTATTTTTTTTCCTGAGATCATCTAAGGCAGATCATGGGCTGCGGATCATGTCCCACCGGTGATCTAAGTGGGGATTGCTACATTTACCACAAGCCTAAGATGGCCTTTTACCAGGGGGAACATTATTTTCCAAGACCATGGCATTTTGCGGGAACCTATTTTCAGAAAGATCATCAGCTAATAATCATATCAATCTGTCTATCTATCTATCTACCTACCTATCTACCTATCTATTTATCTGTCTGTCTGTCTGCCTGTCTGTCTGTCTATCTATCGAATTGTATGTTCAAAAAGACGAGGCCCGCCAAATTACGCCATGTGATTCTCTGTTTCTCTCAAGAAACCAGCGCGTTTCGGGGCCAGAAATGGCCCTACCAATTCTTCAACAACGCTATCAGAAGCTAAAGGAAACTCGAGCCGTCAACGTCTTTGGATTCCTGGGTCGCTTCAACTTGATCATTTCAGGTGGGCTCAAGCCACTGCAACTTGGGGTGCCCTGAGATTGATGTCATCCCCTGCTGGTCGGCTGCTTTGTTGAACAGCATCATTTTCATCTTGACAATGCTAGACAATCACCTCTAGGCTTTGGGGTAACTCCCCAACTCAAGCAAGCAGGGGTTTACTGAATTGGGGTTGGATAAGATTCCTACGGATTGTCGGATGTCCGCAGTCTTTCTTTTTTTGGGGGAACTTCAGTTTTGACCCATGTTTGACCCATGTTTGACCTTCCCTGCTTGAAAGTGAGAAGGGTGATACTGGCCACTTCATGCCGCGATCTGCCTTGACGGTGGCATTCACCTTGGTATTCCCCGAGAGGAAGAGGATTACTAGTGCTGTGATAAGCCATTACGAGTCCACAGCTACTCAAGCGGTCTTGTTTCATCCCATTTCATTGAGAGGGACAAAAGAACAGAGGTTGACCTGCCGTCACGGGATGTTACAAGCAGGATCCGCACAGCGGTTGACGTTTTTTTGGACCTGGATGTCCGACCGAGTTGCAGTTCCGATGAAACACCATCCTGTAGGCGGAGACTTTCATGTTTGTTCATCATTTTCCCCCTCCCAATGGCCAGTTATCGGACAGGGTAACTTTAGTAAGGGGAAGACCCAAACCAGAGCCATGCAGGACTTTGGATTTACTGTTGCATTCGAATTCTCATAAAATGACTTTGTCCACATGTTTCACTTATGCGGTCCATGTTCAATAATTACCATTTGCAACACTTGCTTCGATCTCATGTTTCACTTTAGTAGGGCGAAACTGAGATATCCAAATGTCGAATTGGGCCTGGGCCAGGAGTATTCCTGCCGTCATCCAACAGTTGCGTGAAACCTGCTTCCATCAATACTCCAGCAGTGCCGCAGCGTAGAATATTTCGGTCAAGCTGCTTGTAGTAGCCGCGGCTTTCAATTTGGGTACATCTACATGTGCTGTCATGAAATTCGTTCTAAGAGGCTTGATGGATTTCCTATATGATTTTCCTGATACTTCCTGCGACTATATCATTTACCTGGTCGTTGATGTTTCCATCATGGGACTGATCCCCATTGGCCACCCATTGGCGCTTGAAACCACGAGCCGGGTAATGGTTGTACCAGCTATCGTTGTCCCAGAATCTATGGGACACAAATACAGGGGACAAGCATGTTTGGCCGACAAATCCATCATTTCATATTTTTCATATCATTTCATATCATTTCATATATAACTTCATATCGTTTCATATCATTTCATATTATTTCATATCATTTCATATCATTTCATATCATTTCATGCCAGTGTCCATGACATTAATCATTAAACCAATCCAATGCCTTTGTGATGACTTGACACTGCCGACTGAAGCTGCTGACCGTTTCCGACGAAGTTTCTGCGGCTTGTAGCATGAGGCTGCTGAGATGAATCCCAGGTATCGCTGCTGTGGGTAATACCATGGTTAGAACATGGTAACAAGATCTACTGCCAGCAGTATTGCGCACTTATATACCTATCTATCTATATATATATATATATATATAGATAGATATGGATTACCATGGAATATCATATATATATATAGCATTTAATATAGCCATGAAGCCATTTTTCAGTTACAGCAATGGCTAAAAAAACACACCGAGGATTCCTGGGTCTGCAAGGCTTCTTGCGTGATCCGCCAAGGGCGGACCTCGCGGTTGAAACAGCGCATGGAATCTATCGGGGGGTTCATGTGGCTTACCTTACATTCATAATCGTTCATAATATATTGTAATCCTAAACAGTAATTCATATCACTATTTCTTAGACTATAAGACTACTATAAGATGGTGGATTCTTTTTGTGTTTTGGTTGCTGGAGAAGTCATTTGGATTCTTTCCGAACTTTCGGACACCAATCGGCTTCGTGCTCAGTCTCTTAGAGTGACTCTAATGAGGTGTGTGGTATGCCTTTGTGCAGTCTTAGATGTCTACGTTCGACCCTCATTTTTGCTGAAGTCTATATACTATATACAACTATATACATTGTATGTATTAAATTGTTTACATATTATATAAAATACATAATAATATATATATATACATACACACACATATATATATATATATTGATAAAATATGTATTACACCATTTCTATTTTGTTAAGTGCCCAGGTTTCTTCGCTCCCGACGAGTGCACTCCCACGCACCGAGGTGCATCCTGGATCCTCGCTGTTTGCGGATGCCGCTGCAAGCGGTGCCAGTGCTTCGGTACCGAAAAAGGGACGGCTTGTGAACCGATCTGAATGAAAGGGTCAACATGGCTCAACATGGGTTAACATGGGTTAACATGCGTTATCAATGGTTATCAATGGTTATTAATTCGTTATCAATTGTTATCAATGGTTATCACTGGATATCAATGGTTCTTAATGGTTATCAATGGTTATCAATGGTTTTCAATGGTTATCAATGGTTATTAATGCTTATCACTGGTTATCAATGGTTATTAACATTTATCAATGGCTATTAACCGTTATCAGTGGTTATCATTGGTTATCAATGGTTCTTAATGGTTATCAATGGTTATCAATGGCTATCAATGGTTATCAATGGTTATCAATATTTTTCAATTGTTATTAAAAAGTTATTAATTAATATTTATCAATGGTTATTAGTGGTTACCAACAGGTATTGATGGTTATTAATGGTTATCAATGGTTACTAATGGTTATTAATGGTTATCAATGGTTATTTATGGTTATTAAAATGGCTATTCATGGTTATTGATGGGTATAACTGTGGGTATAATTATTGTAACTTACAATCGCTGTGACGTCACTGGAATGATGATTAGTAAGGGGAAACATGTTCAAAATGGCCTTATTTCAGCTATTTTCAGGTTGGTGAATTATCATAATTCAGCCAGATGCGATGTATTTGATACCCTAGCGTAAACCAACAGTTCGATGTGGAAAACCCATTGGGAAACCCATTCGGAAGATGATCTACAGGAGGGTATATCAGACAGGTGACAAGAGATTTGGGGAAATCTTAATGGGATAACAATGATAATAGTAGTCATGATAATAATAAACAACAACAATAATGATAATAGTTCATAATAATATATCTATGTAGGTGTATATATATATATATATCACCACCTGAAATCAATATGCTCCATCTGGAGAAGTCATAACGACGCAACGCCACTGGCATGATGGTTAGTACGGGGAACAATCCCCATTCTGGCTCATCTTGAGGTTTGTGAATTTTTGTAATTTAGCCAGACATATCATTTAGGTGACATACATGATTCTAATCATGAAATCATGAGGCTCATGAGGTAAACTGCAAGAGTGAACATATGTCAATATCATAGAAAACACACTCAGTAGTAATTTGTATGCTATATAATACATGTCATCATCACTGACGGTCTTTGGGTCGACTATGGACATTTCTTGAACTGGCGCCGTTTTGTCAATGCCATAGTCACCGTACCGAAGCCCTGTTGAAATTGGAGAAATAGCCTCTAGAAACTCTAGTACTCCAACAGTTTACGATTGTTTCAATGGCCATGTTCAAAATCGCTTCTGTATTCATCTCGTTTTATTTGTTATTTTAACATATTTTTTAGCTATTGTCCATGTCTATGTAACAAACTACCAGAGGGTCATAGGATATTTTTTGGGGTAGGGGAGACCCGTCGCAGGGCCCTGGATTGGTGGGATTGCATCAGCATGCGTTTGAGGGGGTAGGTACACCATGACATCTACACTGTGGTAATTTGTTGCAGTTTGCTATGGCTATGGTATAGATGCCCCGTTTAGTTCGATAAAATACTTATTATATATATATTATATTGTATATATATTATATTATATATATATTATATTATATGAGGTGATTTTCCATAGCTATGTTAAATTAGAAGATATTTTTTCCTCTTTTGCAATGCATTTTGATCAAATGTGGCAAAGACAGTAATACGTCACCCCCATTTGTACCAGAAATGTTTTTTTATTCTCGAGGTTTAGGGCTTGGGAGGTGTTCCACATTGGACATCTTCACGGAATCCGCTGTTGTGAGGTGGGGAAGCAAGTGCCAACGCCCAACAAGCTCCTTTGTGTGGTCCGGGCGTCAGATAGCATGGAGGGTGGCACTGTCCAAAAACCTGTGTGGATGGGGATGGATGCAACATATGCCAATGGGGCGTCAGTGGCGTCAGGATCATTTTTTTTGTGAAGGGAACTCACTAGAGGTGGGTGCGGGCATTACAAAATCACTACGACCGACTTCAATTGAGCAGTGTGAAACCCTCTGTCATTCCCTTATACGGGCGGTGAATAGGGATGATCACAATGGATTGTTACAATCCCCAATATATTAGGTAGAAGGGTAGTGAACACTGCTCAATTGCTCAGAGAAATCAGTGGGGCAAAGGCAAGGATTTCCTTGGGTCCAAGGGACCATGGCCTGAGGCATGGCTTAGTAAAGATACCTTGGTAGTTGGAGCTTCAGATGGTGCGGCTGCTCAGCGTCTTCGCCGTCTTCGCCTATCCATGTGATGGGATTGCAGAAGGGAATCCCATTCCACAAATGAACCAATGAGATAATTTCTCAAACAAAAACCTGGTGTAGTGTGGTTTAGTATGGTTTAGTACTGAATCTATTTGGCTATGAGTTATTGGTGTCGTGAATGAATTTGGGGCTTTAGGATTCATAGGCACAATCTCATACCTTCATCTATAAAACCCCAATATATTGAGGGCCTTACATTATTTGCCCCCCCACTTTTGTAGGTTAAAGCGGTTAAAGCTTCATTTTGGTTACTGATCCCCCCAAAGCGGGAGTATGGGGTGATCTCAGCGCCAGGCAAGGTTTCGCGAATTTCCTTGCAGTCGGAGTCCGGAACTCGACCTCTAAGACAAGGACAAGGTGCACAACTGGTGACAGTGAATAGATGCCAAAGTTTGTTTCAAGTTGGGGGAACATCCCTATAGCTGGTTGGTTAGTTTGAATGATTTGAATGTTTTTGTTTTCAAATAAAAACAACGGGTGTTTCACAGCCTGCGGGCCATTCCGAGGTCGGAGATATGAAGCTGCGGAAACAGCACCCGGTTCACTCTCTAGCCGGTTGAAATATCTCGTGGATGATCAAGGATAATTAGACCATAACATCCAACATGACTGAGCATGGCGAAAGCATGCAAAAGATATGGAAGAAAGGATGGAGAAGGCATTACAGCATCAAAACAGGGGTTACTGAGGATGGCAATGCATTTCACAGACTGGATTGTACCAAGCAGCAACACAAGTTACAATTATAGCGTTTCACGACGCCAATGCTGCTCGCTTCTGCACAATAAGACGGATGGCGACAAAAGATGGATCTGTCAAGTCGTGATGCTGTGCAGGGATCTTGCTGGACAAATTGGCCCTTGGGATACCGCAAAGGGCCACAAGATGGCGGTTAAGATTTAGAATTCATGCTACTTGTAGCATTCCATTCTTTCACCTTTGTCTGGTGGTCATCGGAGAGCTACAGCATGCTACAGCTGTCTAGCTATCTAGCTATCTAGCTATCTATCTAACAAGCCATCAAAACTCGGTACATGAACATCCCAAAATCATTTGTTCTGTTTCGCAACGCTAGTTTTCTGACCACGATTGCTGGCCATGCTTCTGTATGAGCTGATAGCTCTGGATTCTGCCGCTTTGCAATCTTTGGAGCTCAAATCTTCCGAGCAATCTTCCAAGCATCCAAACAGCTAGCAGAAGCGAATCCCAATTCAACAGCTGTCTTAAATTGCACTGTTTTGTTTGTTCAAGATAAGTCAGTGTCAAAATCAGGGCGACCCGTGGATCGTGGACAGACCACCAACATCCATGGATTTCTTGGGGTCTAACTGTTGACCCACCAATAGCAACGTCAAAGTGCCAAAGTGCTCGCCGAAGCCACAGAACCTCTGAGGATGTTTGAGGTATATTCTGTTTCTTACCTAGTACCATTCTGTTGTATTGTAGGCTTGGATCCAGGGAAAATCATGGAAAATCTACAGACATATTCGGGTGATAAGACATGGTAAAACAACGTTTCCCATAGATTTCCACTTGAATCATCCCAGTGATTCTCCCTGAGCGATGCGCCATGCGCTGTGGCTCCTTTGGCTTTGCTGGTTCAGACCCAAGCTCCGATCCGTCGGATCCGCCCGGGGAAAAAAAACTTGGTGTTTTTCCAGGTCTCAGGTCGCTTAATTTGGTACAAATTCGCAGAGGATAATCATCCCAGGGAGTGACGACTCTGCTTAGGTCACCCTTGCAGGCAGATGAGACCTGCGAGGCGGTGACAGATCCAGAGTTGGGAGCCCCCGGAGCCATGTCTTTGTCCCCCCAAAAAAAGCACCCATGGCCCCATGGCCCTCAAGTTCCTTGGAGTTTCCCAACCACTGTGGTACTTTTCGTTGGCTCATACCCTCCAGCAAACAAACATGGGCTGAAATTAGAATCTGGTTAAGAGCAGATAGAGCAGGATTCCCTTAAGGCATTGTGATATTCCTAAATTATTGGTAATAATCCCCTATGCCTTATCATCGACCAAGCATCCAAGCATCATTCATTTATCGAACATTTCAGCACGGAAATCTTTCGCGGGGGGAGCTTCCAGCCAGGTCGGTTGCTTTCGCTGTAAACGATGGGAATATCATCACGCTGTCAGAGATGGACCTTTTGTATTATGTATCTTTTTGTTGCAATTTGTCTGAGATTGGGCATATTAAAATTGGCTGTACTCCAGTTTCTGGCGCTGTAATTGGGAAATGAGGTGTTTCGCTGAGGGATGAAAGGGGCTTTTTGAAACATTTGCGGACATGCCAACATCATACTGTTGGTCAGCATATTCCGAGAATGGTTGGTTTTCTAGCCCCACATGCTTACAGAAACCATTCCCATTGAAGATTGGCCCCCCCACATGCACAGAACTGAACAGATCCAACGGTTGAAAAACCATGGTGAAAAAGGTGGGTATTTAATATTGGGGGAAGGAATCAACATATAGTATATATATAATATATACTGTGTATATGTATATATATATATATATATTAATAAATACATTATATATATACATATATATATATATATACGTATATATATATATTATGTATATATATATATTATGTATATATATATATATTATGTATATATATATATAGACATGGGAAATCCAAGCTGTTCCACATCTATTCAGCTCGATCGCGCCGCTCAGGTCCAGGAAAAAAGCTTCGCCGCTCAGGACTCGTGGTGATGCTCCCGCCAACACACCTGGAGGCCTGGGAGATGAGGCCGGGTGCCGTGGATGGCATGGGAGGTCTGAAGCTGATCATCAATGGACATATTAAAAAAATATGGGATCATTATGATATATATATATATACATAAATATAAGGATGAATTATTATAGATCATGAACAAATCCGTCATTATTGATAATATAGATTATTAACATTGAATAGTGGTATTGAATACAGTAATAGCGGCTAATTTCATAGTAATAGCGGATACTTATAGTACTGATTATCGTTAATAGTAATGTTGAATATTAATATCAACAATTCATATTAGCAATAGTGATGTGGTAAACCCAGTGCCAGAAACCATCCTCAAAATCACCACAAAAGGGCTGTATACCCCCAAATGGTAGGTTTATTATTGGCTTACCCACACTAGTAATGTTGGAGAATATTGGATAATTTTGATATCAGTAATATTATTATTGGCCAAAAATGAACTCAGCAAGATATCCCCATGATAATGGCTGGATAATGACCCAGTAATCCCACCCTAAGATTACTGTAAGCACCTCCATTGTATGGTCCCAAATATGTGATTTCTCATTCATCGCCCACTTTTTCCCGCGGTTTGTGGGAGGGTAATAAGATGGGGGGAATGGATTATCAACTCAAAAACAAACTGAGCATCAGGGGCCAGGGGAGCTCAATTCATTTGAATCAAGTCTTGCAAATAAAAAAGGGTGATTTCAATCAACTAAGAAATGGGGACCTAACATGGGGATACTGACGAAACTAACAATGGATTGGCTCAAAACATATCGAAACTATTCAAGCCTGTAAATTTGGATGATTCACTACATTTGAATACCAAACGATTCGATTGTTGTGGGTCCATGGGCGCCCCACTTTTGAACCACAGCCAACTGTTCAGAAGCAAAAACAAGGTCAAAGAAAACCTGAATGACCCTTTCAATCAACAGAGATTATGCCCATCACTTGCAGATCGGAAGAGCTGTTGTCTACCCATTTCATCCCATTTCTGGATGTATTATAATGGTGTCAAACGCCTTTTCATCCCTGATTGATTCACAGAATGAATCCCATTGAAGGCAGGCTTGATCACTTTCCACTTAGTGTGGAAGCTCAGCTCCCGGTGTCATCAAATATGGGAACATGGCTGGGAAATCCCCGATCAATGGCCATTGAAATGGGAAACTCATCTGGGTATGGGTCGAAATTAATGACGTGGGGGACCACAGATTTAAGATGATTTAAGTCTAGGTTCAGTATTAACTCCATCCTAATCCTAATCTATAAATGGTGGATTTCCAGCCATGTTTCATTGCCAGACGTTATATCTGCACCAAGGTACTGTAAATTGGTTTGTTGGACCGCGAAGCGACAAGACTGGTGCCCCAACAATAGATGGTTCATGAAGTTCATAAACCTTACTTAATGAGCCCCGACGTGGTTGTTGCTGGTGAAGATTTGCCCTTGTTGCTTGAGTCCCCATGGAAAAAACATCGGCGAGGCGACGGATGGACGGCGCTGGCAGGTTTCCCATGTGTGCCAGACCTCAGTTTTTGTGCCAAGGGACCTTTTTGCCGATCTCCAAATTTTCAAGCGATGTTCAAGCTGTTGGCCAAGAAGGTGCTGGTTGACACATTTGACACTTCGAAACACTCCAAGATGTTACAACATTCATCAACATACCATGTTTATCCATGTTTATCAATGTTTGGGATGATGCGACCATTAGCATCATCCTAAAAGACCCCAGCTGAGGCTCCCTGATCGGGTGAGCGGAGACATGCAGATGGTGGGAGAACACATCGATGCGCCCTGCTAAGACCACACCCTGGGGAGGGACAGGTGGGAATGATAAAACCAGTAGACACATGGATGTGGATTCAATATATGATTCAATCAGGAAAACAATGGAAAACATCCGCAACCAGAAAGGTGGAGATGTGACCAAAAGTGGATTGTTTTTCTGCGACCAAATCCGTGGCTTGTATTTCTTCTTTATTTGGATGGCAACTCCAGCTAGCCAGGGGCTGCTACAGTACCTGTGGTTGCAACTCGATATACTAGATTCAAAGGTCGGGTTACTTCAATTGAGAGGTCTTAGAATCTCGATTGTCAATCCCAATTTCAATTGTCAAGCAGAACAACAAAACGGTCAGTTGTGCTAATTCGGTTCTCGCAATTTTGAATGTAGCAATCAATTCCCGGGCTGCGATCCCTCAGGGTGGAGTCCTTAGCCGATTTCGTCGCGCAGATGTTAGGAGCCTCAGGGACGGAATGGGGATTGAATCACCCCCCAGGGGCCATGTTTGGGGCCATGTTGAGGGCTTATTCACCAGGAATAACATTGCCATCAGTCAGCTTTGGGGATTGATCGAATCAGCGTTCATGAAATGATTGAAATGGGTTTGTCCAAGAATGGGGATGCCTCATGGCCGTTGCGATGTGGAGAAATACCATGGGATGTGATGAAGATTTGGTGCAATTTAGGACGGAGGCTACAAGGAACAACAAGATAGATCTATGAAAGAAAGGACAAACAACAAGAGTATTCATATTCTAGTATATGTATTATATATATGAAAAAGAAATCATTGCCGAGGATTCAACTATGTAAATCATTTTAGAATTTTAGATCATTTTAGATCGAAACATTCAAATTGGACAGTTGGGTCGGGAGCCAATGCAACTGCGATGGCTGGCTTGCAACTGCGCAGTTCCCTTTTCACCATGAGCATCTTTATCGCTGTCCATGAAGCCAGATATCTCAGCTCTACCCCAGTCATAAATTAGTAAATAGGTTTACAACACCATCTAAGTCTACTGCAACTGTAGTATGTAGATACATCATTATATATCCCCACAAGTCCTACTGAGGCTAGTATTAAACCAACCCTATCTATCTATGGCGCCCCCCCCGGTGGCTAGGAAGAGATGGTGCTGGTCCTGAGAAGCCTACAAGGCATCCACATCCCGCATCTCAGCAGTGATGACCAATTCCCCATTGTAGATCCAATGATGACGGGACTCTCTTGGTCTGAAAGGGAGCATGAGCACTTCCTAAAATCAAAAATTGATCATATCGTCTCTAAATGGGCAGATTCACTGAATGCAGCCCACCTACTCAACTTCTAATTCTTGGATACTATTGATATCTATTGATATCTATTGATACCTATTGATACCTATTGATACTATATACCATAAACCATCCCTCCCCCCTGATATGAAACCCTCCAAACGAAGCCCTAACGAGGAATGTATTGGATCTAATGAGGTCATCAAATGATGGCCTGGCCTGGCTTAGCGCTTAGCCGCGCCAGGGACCACCAAGACCTTTGTGGCCCGGCCAGGGCAGCAGTGGCAGCTTTTGGGACCTGTGGAGGCTGGGCTTACACCGATACCGGAAACAATAGCTGATGGATTGATGGGGAGGATAGAAGAAATAGTACTGTAGATTTCTTGCACCTGTTTTTGGGGTTTTGGGGGTTTTGCAGCACTCCTGTTTTTTTTTTTGTTTTTTTCGGGGGGATTTGTTTGGTTGGTAAGTGGTCGTTACCGTAACCCGCTCAAACAAGTTTAAACAAAGTTGATGGTTGCAGAGGACATGTAAGGAAACATGTTTGATCGACAAACTGGGGACGGTTCAAAACCTATGATTTTCCAGTAAGAATGAGAGGATGACCCTCCATTTGCCAACAATTTGGATGTGACAACGAGAGTACCAGGGTTTTGGTAAAGAGCCAAATACGACATACGACCATGTCTCGATTGTGTTCTGTTATACCCAGCCAGCTTTGGGTGGTTTCTAGGGTGACATCGCATTGTGCAGGATGCACGCAAAGCTCGTGTGACCTGCTTGGGCAACATTCGCAGAGTCTTGGACTTGGCAAATGCGAGGCGCAATTTGATATTAAATTTGAATAGGTCTCAAAACTTTCACCCCTACACTTGGATGATTCATACAATTGACTAGCCGATCTCAAGATATTTCAAGCCGTCAAGCCGTGGACTAGACTGATGCTATTTGTATATTTTCTTAAATAACCCACAGTCACAACTATAGTAGAAGACTTTAGAAATACATCCTTGTGGATCCTTGTGGTGCTATAGATCATGTGCGTCCTGGTCAATAATCGTAGCCTGGGAAATCCTCCATTAGAAAAGGCTGCTCTCCATTAACTTGACCATGGCACCGCTTTTGGCCGGTCAAAGGGCGCCATCTTTTCATTGATCTATCACACACCTACCCGGAAATCCATTACTGCTGGGTGGGTTTTCATGTAAAATGGCACAACAAAAAAGTTGCCTCCGATAATGACACATGAAAAACAATCTCCCTCTCTCTCTCTTTATGTCTATGGTGATCGATCTAAAGGTCCTTGTAAAGAGTTTTCACTGCAAAGACCGTTCATCTTATGTTGGGAACGCTCGCGAAAGTTTTTTCTCGAGTTCGCGAACGTAACATTTTTCTTCGCAAAAGTTTCGCGAAAGTTGGATATTATTAATCATATTGCATTCTATACATATACAACTTGTAAAGGGCTACCACCCCCTGCTGCCCGGGGCTCCGGCAGGAGAAGGGTACCGGAGAATTTCGGTTTGGTTCTGGTTCAGTTCACTGTGTGGTCCTGTACTCCGGACATTTACCTTTCGAGCTTCCAAAGGTGAGGCTTCGCCCCAGCCTGAAGCACATCCTTGCTGGCATTGGCTACTGTGATATTTCTTTTTGAAGTCTCAAGAAACAAACTCCAAATGTAGCAGCCAAGCTTCCAAAAGTGAGGCTCTGCCAGAGCCAAACACAAGGCCCCTGGTGTTTGCTTTTCCTTTCATAAGCCCCCTGCTAATGGCAGGGGTCTGCGGATAGGGATATGTTCGCGAAAGTTCCGCGAAGGTTCTGCGAAGGAGCAGGCGAAAGTCAACGTGCATTTTGAAGGGGTGGGCCAGTAAGTCTTGCACAAAATGCATAATCAGCAGCCATGTGCCCTGAAAAGGGATTCCGTGATGCTAGCTACATGTTTACAAGGCGATCAAGAAGTGATCCGTTATAATTATGGCAGGTGATGAATGAATCTTCATAAGGGGCATTGTTGCCCAACATGGGCCCTGCAGAAGATAAACATGGAGTTCGCGAAAGTTTTGCGAAAGTAACAGTTTTTTCGCGAAGAACGGCCGTTCCTGGATAAAGGAACTTTGATCAACAACCATTATGCATCTATATCTATATCATATCTGATATATATATATTTATATGATAGTAGTTTAATGATCTTTCATTTAGTTCCATGATTTTCCAGAAACCTCCATATGGAGGAAGTGCCACGGCGCATCGGATGATGGCTCTGGGTCACCGTGGTGGACTGGTGTCGCTGTGGCAATTCGAGGTGCCAGGGGTCAAAAATGGTGGGTTTCGCCCGGAAAAATGTTGGGTTTAGCCTGGAAAAATGGTGAGTTTGGCCTGGAACAATGTTGATTTCACCATGAAACATGTGGATTCCCCCATCAAAAACGATGAATTTGCAAGCAAAAAGTTGCAATCCCAAGAATTGCCAGGCTGAAAAGGACAATTATCTTCCAAACCATTTCTTTTTGAATTCTATGGTTATGTTCAAGGAACTCCTCGTATGTGGGGATGGGTGAACAGCTCCTTGTGCACCAGAAAAGGGAATGGAGGGTGTGTACTAGCAATGTACTGGTCAACATTTGTGATGGGTCATCAAGTCGCGCAGTGTTAAAATTTGACCCATGCACATGTGCATTCGGAATTATCTTGATAGGTTTAATAATACCATCCCCCTAATTAATACATATTAATACTAGACACCTCCTAAATGGTCCCAAATATTTGCAAATCCCTTACCTTTTCCCATGTTTTCTAGGAATGTTTGATATTCAGGGGGAAACGATTATATATGAAAGCAAAGACTCACCACCGAACCGAGTGACGTATCCAAGATCTACCCCACGCAGCTCGCGGGCCGCTCATGATGATGCTGGCGCCGACGATTAAAAAACATAGTTTGGTGTTTAATCCAGGTATACTTGCAATGGAAAGATATGCTGGGGACAGTGATTTGGATTGGTTTATAACGAAAACCTATTTACATCCAAAATACATCGAAATATGGCATATGGGAGAACCCCTGTAGAATCGCCCTTCGTTTGGAATTTTTGCCCATTGAGCCACAAAGAAACCAGCTGCCCAGGGGGCGTCCCCTTGGAAGGAGGTTGGGCAGATGAAGGCCCGCGTACGGGGTCGTTGGCCGTGGCACACGGGGATACAAATTGTCCCGCAAAGAAAAATAACGGATCAATGGGGTATGGTCATGCCCAAAATAGGATGTGATGAAGCACGGGATCCTTTCTCCCGAAATTGATATTGGTAATATGGATGGGCTGGATAGGTCTTGCATGGTCTGAGGGTCTTCAACGGCGATCCACAGTCCGAAGTCACATTTTATTGGTCCCTTCTTGGTGCAACGTGGTTCAAAGCCATTTACCACCCTCAAACAAGTCAAACATAGCATTGGACAACTCCCCATTTAGATGATATTCTCATTAAATCTTCCGTTCATAGAAGATTTTCCAGCCTTCCATATTTGAGTACCCAAGGGTATTGGTCAACGATATCCCCAAGATCGAAGATCTCCCTTGTCAAAGCAGTGGTGCTTGGAGAAGGACGAGGTTAGGGGGTCCAACACCAGCGAGATAAACCGTGCGGAGGTTAATCTGAAATCATGGGACTAAAAAATAAACATACACACAGAAGATAACAGAAATACAGAAGGGATGTGTGAAATGGAGACACATTGGAATGGAGGTTGACCCGGCAAGCTCGCAACGAAGTGCACAAAAGCATCTAAGAAGGTCCAAGGAAGTCTCCCCTTCCCGATTACTTACCGATTACTTACTTCGGTCAGGATTTGGATGTTTCATATGTTTCCACAAATGAGGGATCCCCGAAATGCATGGTTATAATGAAAACACAATTAAAATGGATGATTTGGGGGGAACCCCCATTTTAGGAACCCCCTATTTGGTGCAAGGAAGTGGGATTTTTAATGGCATGTTCAATACTGACGAAGATTTTCCCAAAAGGACCCCATTTTTTCTACATGGCGAGTTGTATAAAAAGTCACCATTTGTTGGTGACTTTTCCCAGCCAAAGTCTCGGTCCGACATTTTGACCTCTAAACCGGTCCAGGTTTCTCACCATGACTGGGAGAGCGTAACCCTGGCAGTGCTGAGCGATGCTTGGCTGGGTCAGGGGTCCACGGGAGCTTTCCCAACACAGAGGATGTCATCAAAAGAGGCCACGGAGGGTAGGGGTCAAATCATGTGTTCTGGTTTTTCAGGTCTGGCACAAATGGCGGGCCCCCTCATTCTAGCGGAGTGTCATGATGTTTCCACATTGCAATTTCCGGGTCCCATTCTTGGACATACCTTTTTTTATGACAGGGAATGAACATCCAGATCTGATAGATTTTGATGTGAAGTTTCTGAGTGAAGGGGGATTTCGCATAGTCATATCATATCATTCGATCATGGCCTATATTTTTTGGTTTGCGCCTTGAAATGGCGGCGAGGGTGGATGATTTTGGAGATTTTCCCTGCGGAATGAGTTCCCGATATGCAACTCAACATATCAGAGTATCTCTTCGGAACTTCGGCAACTTGCACCCTGTCTTGGTAGTTGGCAATCCCCATATGATTTTCCCAATATTAAAAAACACCTGAGACTTTAATTTAGTAAAGTATTGGATCTCTGCGTTTTGGGTACCATGTTTGGGGTATTTGACATTCTTAGTTTGCTGGACTTTTCTCTCAGCCCCAGCTGGCCAGTGGCAATACAGGTAATCAGATGATCATAGGTCACTACCTATGACTTTCTTCCCAACAAGCACATGTGGCCGACATTTGTGCAGTTGTTGAACCCCTAGTTACTTGTGTCCCAGGAGCGCTTGCAGGGAAATGTCGCAGGACACCCATGGTATATATTATATATAATGATATAATATATTATATGTGTATATAATATATTGTATATATAATATATATATATAATTATCTATGTGATATATATATATATACATTATATATGTATATATGGGAGTAGGAACCATGGTTTCCGGTTTCCATTTTCCCTTCAGCCAATGCGCTGAAAGTTGCAATTTGTGCGTGAATTGTATGAGGAGGATGGCAGCCTGCTGTTGGCAGCGAGCCAGGCCAGGTCCCCGAGATCAGACTGAAACTGCTTCGTAGCGACGTAGCGGAAATGATCGGAAATGATGATTTCTGGTTGATTTATGACTAATTTATGACAGGTGATAAGTTGGTTTATATGTACAGTGTTGGAGTCAAGACTTATGGTGGAGATATGTGGAGATTGATCTACAGTTGAAGAGGTGAACGGAAAAAACAAACCATTTTTTTGCGTATGTAAACTGCAGTTTGGATGTTGCCCCAGTCCTTGGGTTGTTTCGCCAATCTCGGGGTCAAACCAGGTGCCATGGCACTGGCAACCACCTTTCCAAACAAAAATAGTTATACGATCTATTGGTAAGTAAAATCATTCTTGTTGGGTAAATCCCTTTCAAATCCCACCAACTCCCATTAAATATATTAAATTAAATCGAGCGCTTCAACCGGTGTCACTTTCCGTAGGACAACGTGATGCTGTTCTCCCTCCCCGATGACAACGAAGCCGTTGAGCTAAAACATCTCCATGGAGGGGCTTCGCAGGTGGCCCGATTTGTGATTTGTGAGTTTAAACCATTGAAACATTGGAGCTTCACCAATGAACAGTGGGAAATTCCATGATTTTCGGGCAACTGAATAAGGTGGATGAAAGGAACAAGGCATAGGAGGTTTGTCTGAAAAAGATGCGGATTTCAGCAAGAACATGGGGTCGATCAATGGTGAGGGGTGAACCGGAAGGAATCAACCACAAGGAATGAACCATAATGAACCACAAGGAGATTAACTATCAATCAGTGTTTCTAGTTCTAGTGATCTGCATCCAAGTCGGTCACAGTTGGTTAAGACGCCACATAGAACTGGCTTCTACGATGGTTATTACGTGTTATTACCCACTTACCCAATGGGATTTTGCGTCGAAGTACCAAGGTTCATGCTGCAGGAACATCATGTTTCAAACCCATTCAAATTGGCTTCAATTCTTGCAACTAATTTAACTGGGGATTTCCTCCAATGGGGGTACCCCCAGATCATCCGGTCATTAGACCATGACTTTGTCTTGAAACCCATGGTGACGACTGGGGATCCCCCATGACTTAGTCGAACCCAACGGTCCCAGATCTCTGCGGCTTCCATTGCATCTCTGCCGGGCGCGGGGAAGCTGGTGGTCCTGGCGTACCAACGGGGTGGCCTAGAAGGCGCGAGGCGAAAAATCCAAGGGGTCGAGATTGATGTGCCATGGTCAAAACTTGGATAGCTCATTGGCTCAAACCTCCCCGTGGTTGAGCTGGAAGGTAACGGTGCGCACGTTACAACCAATTGTGCCATGCCGTTGCCTATCCCTCGAAATGCTTTTCACCACTGTATTGAAACAGCTCAGGAATTCTCATGCGCCACCTTCATATGCCCGTGCTTGGACAGGCATACAGTCTTGTTGGAGAGATCAGACTCGGTAGCTATGGGTGTCAACCATGTGACATTTGATGCTACTCTCAAGGTGACTGGTTCAGCTGTCAAGACGGGATTTGGTGACTACTCTTTCATGCCGAGGAGGTGTGCCCATGACCAGGACTTGCACTGGAAAGTGACAGTATCCATGTCTCAATGGGAGCAGGTGGTCTCAAAGGGAAAGACTTTCATTGCAGTGAAGGCCAAGAGGATGATGATGACCTTGGACACATCGTCTCGAGGTTCCGGTGTGCTTGCTGATCCAGACCGACGGGCATTTTCAACAGGAGATGACAGCTTTGTCACAGCTGAGTTTTTCTCTGGGGGCTTCTCTGGTTGGACTCAATCGCTTCGGCGTCTCAGCGAGTTGGGATATGAGTTCAGACATTTGGTCGCCGTTGACTCAGATGAGATAGCAGCTGAGACTTTTGCACGATCTCATGGGTTCCCTACCGTATTGTCCGAAGGCAACTATGATCTCACCGATGAATTTCTGCCTGAACACATTTTTGTACAGGACAGTATTCTCTCACCAGAATGGTATCATCTCATGTCCATCACAGGTTTTGACATGATCATCAAATCCCCTCCATGTCCACCGTGGAGCTTGGCGACCTCGTGTGAAGGATTGTACAAAGCAGACGGCCGTTTGACCATCCAAAGCTGGGGACTGTGTCACTTGATCAAACCGAAACTGGTGTTGCTTGAGAATGTAGGAAACATGAAACAGCACGAGCAGTGGCCTCTTCTCAAACGGTTCATTGAATGGTGTGGCTTCGCAATCCGTTATGCAAGGGTTCTCAACATGAGTGATGTTGCACCGCAGCACAGAGACAGGCTGATCCTCATCGCATCGCATGAAGATGCTGACACCCAACCGCACCTGTGCACAGGCTGGCCGAAGCTTGAGAGGCAAACCATGGAGTCGTATGGCAACTTGATGCCGTTGGAAGAGCCTTGGAAGTCCCAATGCCTGATCGATCCAATTGTACTGAAGCAGTATCTTGATCCTGCCTTGTTGCCGAAGAATCCCAATGCCAAAGCCAACCCTTTGAAAAAAAGCAGAATTGATGTTGAACAGTACCGCATTCGATTTCCACAGAGCTCCTTTGGTTGTGTGATGGGAAATTACTCCTTTGGTCATTTGCTTCCAACGTCAGTGCTGTCATCGTTTGGCTTGTTTGGAACGCTTGTCTGCAGACCTGATGCATTGAGATTCATGACAATCCCAGAGATCATTATCTCTATGACAGCCGTGATGCCACTTTGGTTACCCGATGATCATCGGGCATCCATGCGCCTTTTGGGCAACGCAATTTCAGTGCCACATGCCATGATCACAGTGTGCAATGCTCTGGCCTTCCTGACTCCTTTGTCGTTCTGGGAGGTTCAGGATTTGTACAAAGAAGCCATCTCAGTACGCATGACCTGCCAGAACATCAGATGGGAAGCCAAATGGGGGGGCATGTCTTTTGAACGCAGTGATGACGTTGCACCAACCATGCTCATGCATACCTACCAGAAAATCACCATGGAATCACCTGTGAATGCTTTGGTCTTTCATGCGGAAAAGGGAGTGGTCATCAGAGATGCTCTGAAGCTTTTGGCAGAAGATTCCTTGCCCACCACAGTCTTTCTCCTGCCTGGGGGGATACATGAGGCTAAGGTGAACTTGCCGTCCAGATTTGAGGTTGACGATTGCGATGTCAGGCTGTTTGCAAATGTGTCAAGTGCACTTAGGACAGACTCTGGATCTTTTTCAGAACGCTCAAATCAGTCGTCTTGCATTATTGTCTTGACATGTCATGGCACTTTTGCACTGAGAAGGGACAGTGGTATGACCATTCAAGATGTCCTCAACACACTGAACCACCAGTTGTCCATTCGTTCCACACATCTTGTCGGGGCCTTTGGAGAAAAACACTCACCTGAGATGTTGTGTCCAGACGCTGTGATTTCATTGGATGTAGAAGGATCTTCGGACACACTGCAGAGGTTTGATTACATACGTTTGGATATGGATGATGGTGAAATCAAGTTTTTTGCCTCAGACGCTGCCCTGCGTGAGTTTGCACAGCTGATCCATGAAACAGCCTTGGATCAGATCCTTGGTGCACTGGGTTGGACTTTCATGATTTCGGCAGACTTCCTTGTTGACAGAAACATTGGGTGCATTCGCTTGATGCAGAAACCTGGAGCCTTCTCATTGACTCATGATGACCTGCGTTTCTGCCTGGCAATCCACCTTTTTCCGATACGCATCCGTAACTGGCAAGAGATTGGAAGGGAACCCAACATCAGATGTAGGGTGAAGCTCTGGCATGCTTGGATTTGGGACGGTCTTGTCGATCCCACTGTCTCGGTGCAGCGATTTGATCAGGAGTGGGAAAGGATCTCAGGCTGGTTCAACCTTACCAGACCGTGGCGATACGTCATCAACAATCACACAGTGAACCCGGAGTGGCCCTTGTCGGGATTTGTCACCGAAGATGAATCAGGGGGAGCCCACTTGAAGATCTTCATGATACATGGGGTCCGGGGGGGAGGGCCAGCTCAGTTGCGGTCCACCTCCCAAATCCGCAACTCTGAATCCTCAGGGAATATGAGAGACATGGCTGATTTCGAGGCAAGCAATCCTGAGGCAGCTTTGGCTTACCTCCTTGGTCGTCTTGTGGAGTTCCCTGCACCCATCAAGAGGTTTGACATTTCTGTCTTTTTGGAATTGGAAGCTGCAATCGTTGACGGCCTTTTTTGCATTCAGGGCAGATTCGAGAAACTTCGTGAATTCATGCACCTTGTCAAAGTCTCTGGAATCGAAAGAACACTCGCATTTGCAGGTTGGATGATGGCGTGTCATTTCACGGCTGTTTTCGAACCGGTGCATGCCCAGATCATTTTCTTTCGGAAGCCATTAGCAGCATCGACCTCCATGGATTTCTTGCGTGATTTCTTGAAAGCAGCCTTGGTTCACTTGGGTATGCCGAAGCCACAGGATGACATTCCTGATGCCATCAAAACGAAGGTCAAACTTCACGGTGTGACAATCTTCCATGCCAAGTTAGAAAGGAATTTTCCAATGCAGCAGTTGCTGGACATATGGGACCAGGCCTCAACCATTTGTGATGATCCATCGGACATGCGCTTGGCTAGCCATGCTGGACTTGTCAATCCCGATCTCCCTTTGAGATACTTCAGTCGATGTGGTCCTGATGACATGACAGTTGCACAGGTGTCTTTCATGAGACCCACCCACGGTGGTGGTCCTTCAGATGCTGGTCCGATGAATGCTCATGACTTCCAGATTCGCCAGAGGAATAATCTTGCATCCTTCTTGATCAGCCAAGGCGTGGACATTACCACCTGTGTACCATTCATTGATTCGCTCCTGAAAGGATCAGGTCCGGAAGCAATTGGGTCGATTCTCAGTGCGAAGTTCCCTGGCAAAAAGTGGGAGGCCCTCTTGAAGCTTGCATCGGCCTTGAATATTGCCATGCCTCCGGTAGTGGACAAAGTCGAGAAAGCCAAACAGAGAGTGCAGCAGAAATTTAAGAACCACGCCAAGGAGTTCTTTGACAACATGCCCATTGAAGCCTTAGTGCTTCAGCCAGGATGCATCAAGAACACTGATGAGACTGAATCTCAGCAACTCCAAAAAATCACACCAAATTCCTCGGGTGTTGTACTGCTGTCATATGACATGGCGAGACCATGGATTGAACGTGGCACACCAATCTCCCAGGATGAGATGTCAGTTGTGATCATTGGCACTTGTCTTCACACCAACAAATGTGAGTGTAATCCAGTGCGTCTTCCAGTGAGATTGAATGATGAGCCTCTGGTGGTTTCAGGTTGCATGCACCACCTTGGTGCGTTGAAAGCAGTGTACACAGGCTCTGAACAAGATGACATTCCCATTACCGAGTCTCAGGTGGTGGCCATGACGGCATTCAGGGATGAAATCCATGAGTCAGATTGGGAAATTCTCCTCAAATCTCCCGTCAAGACCATGATCAGATTACTTTTGGGGGAATCCGATACGGTTGAGTTGCTTGCTCCACCTTGGGGTCGTTCCTTTCAGAGAGCCGGCAAGAAGGTCCAGCCAAGCCTTGCTGCATCCGTTCAGTGCCATGTGCGTATCAGCAAAGATGAGCTCAGAAAATTCTTGAAGGCGTCAGGCAATGCAGGCATTTACACCATTCCGAAGACAGAAGACCACAAGGTGTTGACTGATTTCCAAGTTATCTGGATGAATGAATCGACGGTTGATTTTGCAGTCAGCTTGTCAAAAGTCGACAATCACTGTGGGGTCGTGCGTGGAAGTCGTGCTGATGGAAAAAGCAAGGGCATCCGCTTTGATAAGGCTGATTACTTGACTGCATTTGCAAATCTCAAGCCTGACGAGAAGTTGCCAACCCTCGTCATGGCAAATCATCACTTCAAGATCGCGCCGACACCACTTGGATCAACGTCGTCTCAGGTCCAGGAGTGGTTGCAACTTCAGGGTTGGGATGCAAAACCTATCAGAGCTCTTTCTGGCACATGTTGGTTGTGTGTTACCGAGAAGAAATTTGAAGACGTTTTCACCCAATGGAATGGAAACCCAATACTGATCAGATGGGTGGACTCCAAGAAGACCACTCACCCAACGGTCTTGGCTGGGCAGTTCCTGAAAGGTGCAAAAAGCTTGTCTCTTTCAGATGTGTCAACGTCGGCAGCCTCTTCTAGTGCAGGGGATGGGGACTTTGATGAT